TGCCTTAATCCCATCTACTTGGGGTCGGCCACCCTCATCCTTAACTTCCACTTGACACAATCTCCACATCTACGCTCACATCAGCTGTCCTCATATCGCATTCAATAACATCCCTCTATCTCTTTTTTGGTATTCCTCTACCTCTTCTTTCTTCAACATTCATTTCTATAACTATTCTTACAGCTTCCAATTCTTCTCTCCTCATAACATGACTAAATCATCTAAGTCTATTTTCTCTCATCTTATCCACGCTACACTTATACTCCATCTTATATGCTCGTTCTTTATTCTATCTTTTTTAGTTACTCCACTCATCCAACTAAGCATTTTCATCTCGGCTACACTCATTCTCTGCTCTACTTTCTTATCAACCGCCTAACACACTGAACCATACATCATAGCTGGTCTCACTACATTGTTGTAGAATTTACCTTTTAGCCTCATTGGAATTCTTTTATCGCATAAGACACCAGACGCTTCTCTCTACTTCAACCACCCGTACTTAATCCTGTGTCTTACATTCTCGTCAATACCACCGCTCATTTGCACTACTGATCCTAAATACTTAAAACTTTCTACCTCCCCATTCACAGTCTTGCCTATTGTCACTGATTTCCTCATTTCACCTACCTCATGTTTTCTTTTGTCGACCCAGCCAGAATTTCTGCTAATGATAAAATTNAAGCCAGAATTTCTGGTAATGATAAAATTAATTGTCATAAGTGTCTAAAATTAGTCTTGTTCAAGTAAACTCAATGGTGGATAATAACTTTCCTGAAATAAATCTTAAAAGGTTAAATAAACTGTATCTTCAATAACTTCTATTGTTAAAATTAATAATGAAATAATTAAAGTAAACCCATTGCTACTATTTCAACTAATCGCTATTTAAAAAAAAAACCAGCAGTGTCCCGGCACATTGTCTATAATTGAGTGCAGTTTAGATGAAATGAGACAGTGATTAAAATATTATCAAAAAACAACGCCTTGATGCAAATCTGTAGATAGTGTTTAATTTTTAAATTTTAATGGATTATTACAAAAGCTACATGATCTCCTATTTCTTTATTTATATTCTAAATACAAGTTATATGCATTACTAGTGCAAAGTATGTAATCGATGGAGAATTTCTCAACGATAAAGTTATTTGACAAATGTATGAAACAAAATTTTTTTCCATTTTCATATTCAGTTTCCCATTCTAAATTTTAATAGAATATATTTTCAACAAAAGTACAAATTTCTTTATCTTCAATCTTTATTTCAATTGAATTTGTACGCCATTGACCTTTGCAATGTTCACATATAATAGAACAGTTAAGCCCTGTTTTTCGCCAGTTACAATTTTTCCAGCTCCAGCACCTGACTAAAGTCCGGTTTATGACAATCATCTTTATGATTAGCAGAAATTCCGGTGGCAATTGACATAATATAATTGTTGTTTGGGAATGTACAATTTAGCGTTTAGTTGGGTTTAAACAATATAGCGTCAAATCAAATACCTACTCTATCGGTTGTATCTTAATATACACTACACTTTAATGATACTATAAATAAATAAACTCACACATACACACATATGCATTTATAACATTGTGTCTAATGTAAGTATAACATGATAAAAAGTAACCGTAAAATGAAAAAAATTGGAAAATAAATTTTAGTACTCATATTAAATGTAATGTAACTCGAAAAATATTTGTTTAAATGAAAAAATATAAGATACCTTTTTTGTTTATAATTGTCTTTTAAACAACTTTTGAACGAAACTTTTTTAACATTATGTTGCTTTAAGTTTTTAAAAAATGCATGAATCAATTCTATTCTTTAGCAATAAATACTTTATGTATACCTCTTTCATTCGACATACTTTTTTTTTAAATCAGACCTTTTCCCTTTATATAGGGGGGATGCAAACCTATTAAAATGCGTATAGAAAGTAGAACTTTTTCAACTTAACTTTTGAAAATGTACAGGAAAGACTGACACTTTTATATGTCTTAAATTAAAGCTTATATAATATACTTTAATTTGAAAAAAAAAATTTGACCTCTGGATTTGTCTTCATGGTAAAAATGACTACCGTATTCAAAAATATGCTATTTTTGTGTTAAAATTCTGGGTTTTGTATTTTATTTTATTTTAAAATACCTGAAAAGGGGAGTAAAGATTTTCATAAATATTATATAAATAAAAAATTAATATAGCATAGAAAGTTAAACTTATTTAAATTTGTTTGCTTCTTTTAAGTCGAGAAAAATAATTTTAAAATTTGAACTAGCTTAAATAGCCCATTTTTTCGACCTACGGTAGCGACGTACGGTTACCGAGTTGGAATAACATATGTTTTACACGCTTGGGGTACGAGGATTCCAACCCGCGTATGTCAATGAATTTTTTGCATTTTTTCTTAATTCTTTTTAAATTAGTATAAATTTTTAACTCCTTTGATTTTTATCTCATTTAGATTCAAAAACATCAATAAAGATTGAGGATCCCATCACTTTAGTCGACACTTGCAAAAAGAAATTTCTTATTCGTATTGCAATTATTTTACTATATTTTAAGTTTTAGCTTCGATGCAAAGCTGAGAAGATATATTTTTGTGACTATCATTTATTTTCTCTGCTTTAACTTGACCTACTTTTTTCAACGATACGTCAAATGACTACAATTCGTATCTAGTTGAAGATATTACCCTCAAAAATTGAAAAAAAATTTCAATTTATCAATTAAACAGTTAGTTATTCCATGTTCTCCATAAAGACAATTAAAATCATTAATTTCTAATGTTTTTAAAATATTTATTAACGAATTAAGTTTGATATAATAGGTTTCAACTACAAAATTAAATCATTTTACTTTGTAATTTAATAATTTTTTTAACTCTATTTGTGTGTGCTACTTCTAGACTATAATATTACAAATTTTTTTGTAACATGTTGCTATATAAATCATTTCTAAAAATTTCTGACTGCATATTGATCATAACGATACAATTTTTTTAATTCTCATAAAATTTTCTATTTAATGAATAGGCCAGTCAACGAAGGAGTAATTTTGGCGAATAGCAGAAAAAATTCCCAACCAATTTTTTTTTTTTTTAATAGGAAATTGGTGGATTATTCCAAAAGCAACATCTACTCTTATTTCTTTAATTATATCATGATTAGTAGTTCTTTGATTTTAAAATATAATATATGAATATATACTAATTATAATTATTAAATTTAGTATGAAATTGATAATTAATGTTGTAATTTAAACGGATAAATTATAAAAATAATAAAGAAGTTATATTTTGCTTTACTTTTACTTGTATTAAAATTTAAAGGGCTTGATACAATAATTTTCAATAAAAACTGTTTGTTACTATAAATAAATGCACTGGACATCAAGGAACTTTCATCAGAAGCAAAAATATACTTTTCTAAATCAACTTTTCGTGTTGTTTTCAAATCTGCAAGTAGACTTTTTCTATCACTTCTAATTTTTTATATTATTACTAATTACATATAAAATAATAATTAAAAGAAAAAAAAATTTGTTTTCAAATAATTACTGATTAGATTTTTAATATGTTAAAAGTTCATGTTTTTTTTTACAGCCTGGCAAAAGAATGCTCCTATAGTATTCAAGTTGAACAATCAAATGATTTCTATTTAATTTCTCTTATATCAGCTTTAAATAATTAAGTAAGTTTCAAATTGCTTCTATTTATTAAATAATTTTAATAATAATGAAACTACATAATTTCATTTTTCTAAAACAAAATATTTATAATATTTACTGATAATTTTATTCGTTAACACGAGTATAATGATTTATACTCGTGTTAACGAAATTAATCTTTTTATAAATTGATATCAAAAATATATTTAAAAAAAAATCACAACTATCATTTAAATAAAATAATTGAATAAATAAAAAGTACTTGATTACTAAATCATAATCTATTTTTCTATTATTAGCAGTGGAATTAATATTTTATTATTTAACTACTACTAAACACATCAAATATGACATTAATAAAACAAATAAACAACATACAATCTTTTGTTAATAAAATTAACTAACTAATTAGATCAACTGATTCTAGTTATTAACTACTGTGTCAACATTAAAAAATAGAAGAAGTTATTTTGAGATCGGTTGTACAATTTGTATGATTAAAGTTTGTTTTAACGAGCAACAACATTAAAAAAATAAAACACTCTTTAAATAAATTTTTTATTTTATAAAATATTTTTAATAGGTAATAATATTACATAATACATTTATATAATGTTAAAATGATATATAACAATAAACAATTGTTACATTAAATATAGCTATAATATATTCTTTTTTAATATATGTATAAAATGACTTATTATTATGGTTTAATAATTGAATACATATTTGGTTGTGATTTTCCTTGAGATGTTACAATTTCAGGTTTTCCAAATGGAATTTTTCCAGCTAATTTTAGACCAGCAAAGTATGTTTTACCATGTTGATAACCAACTTCCTAAATTTAAATAAAATATCAATATAATGAAACTTTCTAAAGAACTGCTTATTCAATTTATAGTAAGTGATTACTTTAATTTCTTCAAAACTTGCAAACTGAAGTGTCTTATATTTATCGATAGGAGGTCTAATATATTGACAATATTCACTACTTTTAACAACCTATATAACAAGATATTCAAAAATATTTTAGTAATTAAGGGAAATTATTATAAATATGGTGCTTACCTCAAGTTTGCGAACACAAGATACATAAGCCAATCTTGATTGTATATCGGGAAGACTTGGAACTTTGACTGATGTTGTAAATGGGTTCAACTTTTTCCACAATAACCAAAACCCAGATAAACTGTCTCCATAATTTGTAAAATCCATATCATCTTGAGATCCAACATCTATAGCAAGTACATATTTAGCTCCTTGACTTCTCATCACATCCGCTTAAAAAATGTCAATTTTATTTAATGTCAAATTATTAAGATGTTAAAAAAATACATTTACAAATAATCTTACTAAAGTCAAACAATTTTTTTTTATTAATATACAGGATTTCTTTTATTTTTTGTATTTAATTCACTTAAAAATTCATCTTATTCTTTCCTACAAAAATTCATTAGTGAATATTTGATGGTAAAAACAGCATAATTAAGTCATTTTTAATAGTTTTATTGAAATAATTTACACATTTATATAAAGAACATACAATAAAATTGATCAAATATTAATAAAAACTATTTATGAATTTAAAAAATTGAAAATTTTTTTTTATATATAGCTTAGAAAGTAATCATAAGAAGGCAATATAAGTAAGAAAAAAATATTATTTCCAAAATACATATATGCAATTTTATAGTCATTTTTGTGGGTTCTTGATTTAAATATTTTTTATACTTTTTAGTTTTTTAGTTTTAAATTAATTTTTTAAACATATTTTATTAATTTTAAATATTACTCATAAATGATAAATTTTTATAATGTATAAAGTAGATATTATAAAAATATATTTTATGGAATTATGCGCCTATCACATTTACTTGAAAAAAAACACAAATAAAATAAAAATTGTTACATTACTTTTGTCATTTAGTAAAAACCTTTTAAGTTCCTTTAATTTAAATTTAACCAAAGTTTAATAATATTAGTTTAAATTAATTTAAAAACAAAATTTAATAGAGCATGAATAAATACTAAATTACACAGCCTAAATGTATTAGAAGGATAGAATAAATTTTTTTTTTTTATTAAGTATCGAAAATCACATTATACCATAGAGATTTCAGTAAAATGCTGGTTACCATACATAAATACACAACACAATTATTTATATACATCTTACCTGGAACATTATTAACATAACATCCATCAATAAGTAAATGACCATCTTCTGAATCACATATAGGAGGAAGTAAACCTGCTATTGTCATACTTGCTCGAACATATCGCCATAGAGTACCTGCCTACCACACATATACATTCATACACCTCCAAATAAATTATAGTTTACACCCATGAGTTTAATTTTATATGATAGCAAGCAATTAATAAATATTTTGCCTGATTAAATAATTAATACTTAAATGTGTAAAAAATAATTGTGTTAATAAAAAATATAGTACCAGGAGCTCTATAGACCTAATTATAAATAATACTTTTCATAAAAAATAATAAAAATTTGTATCAAAAGTTATTCTTAGTATTCAGTTTGACTAAAGCAAGAAAGTAATATGTGACATTCACTAAAATAAAGTACCTAGTGAGTTGCAAAATGCAGTATTTACTTATAATAAATCCTAATTTTTTTTTTTCTTTATATAGTGGAATTACTTAGTCTGATACCTAAAGAAAATACATAAATTATCATGCAATTTATAAATTTTAACCTTATACTATGTTTAATTCCATAAAGAATTTTTGGAAATAAGAGAAAGAGATACTGACTGAAAGTAAATAACTCTTCAAACAGTTATCAAAAATAAACAATGTTTTTATAATGAACATGATTTTAAGATCTAAAATTGATTTAAGTCCTTTTACCCAAAGAGAAAAAATATGTTAGGATGGATCAAAAAACACGTCCTTAAGTTTATTAAAAAAGTAATGCTTAAACAACGTTTGAATAATTATTTGTAGTAAACTTTGCTTAAAATTGAAAAGCATTTTTCTTATAAATTAATTTTGCTAATCATGACTTTTTTTTTTCAGTGAATGTCACATTTTATATTATTAAAAAAACTTATTTTTGTAGAAAATAAATTATTAAAATGTAGTGATTGATTTACCTGGTAAATTATTTATGTATCCACCATCCAAAAGTAAATGACCATCAATTGGATCACATAATGGTGGCATATACCCAGAGAGAGACATTGATGCTCGTACATAACGCCATAATGACCCTAGAAGCAAACACGAACCTCAAAAATTTTTCCCTTAATTAAAAAAAAATTTAAGTAAAAAATATATTTATTGTAAATCAATCACAATATCATTTTAATAATTACATTTTTAATTAATAAACTAAAACTTAATTATTTTTTATCAGCATATAAATTAAAATTAATTTAAGTTTTCTTAAATAAATTAATTCTTAACCAAAGCTATATTATAAAATTAATATATCAAATAGTTTTTGATCATTACTTAAAAAAAAAAAAATTTTAACCAATAAAGCCTTATAAATTAATTATTTAATACAAATTAGTTTGTTAATTAAAATAAACTTCAAATATAAAAATTCATAATTGATTAATTAATTAGGGTACCGTGAGTGTGTATTCTCATTTCACTGGATGATATATCTGTGGAAATTGTAAAATAGGGTAACCATAAATCTTCTATTTGTGTATCTCCAAATGTAGAAAAAATTGTAAAGTTAAAATCTTTGCCAGTGAACATTGAAGTTACTGGATAGGTCAAATCCAAAATTTGCCTCCACCAATGAGTCATGCTCTATAATAAATGTAAAATAAAGAAAATTAGTATTTAAAAATTATTAATACATAATGTTGGCTTAATGCAGAAACTAATCCAAATAAACTAAGATTATTTCTGATTTTTTATTTGTGATTACCACCATTTAATAGTTTTTATTAAAAATTTTATAAAAGTTATTGAAAATACATTCTTTCACAATGTCTTAAACAAATTAAGATCATATGTATGAATAACAAATAGTAAATATAAATGTTTTGTGTTGGCCATTAAATTAATGTAAAAAGAAATAATAGGATTAAATATTTCATACTTTAGCCCAATGACCAGCCTTTCTTATCATTCCTATTATATCTCTTTCACTACACCAAACAGCTCCCATAAAAGCACCAATGCTAACTCCACCAACCATATCAATAGGAATTCCAGCTTCCTGTAAATTACAAATAAAGCAATTTTTTTACTACTAGTTTTGATTTTTTTTAACTATATTATATATTGTATACTACATTACTTGTATTGCTTTTAACATTCCTATATGAGCAGCACCTCTAGCACCACCACCTCCTAATACTATTCCAACTGATGTTCCTGTTAACCATCTGGCCAAGCGACAAAAATCTGAATGTATATTAACTTCAGTTTGCAGTCTTTTTTGATACTGTTCACTCTAATAATATAATAATTGAATATAATAAAAAAATAATACTTGAATTAAACTAAAATTAGAACACAGGTTTTATTTTATATAAATTAAGCTTAAATTAAAAAATATACATATATTTTTGGTTAGATAGCTATAAAACAATTTTGTTTTTCTTACTATTGTTGAAACTGAGCGTTTTGTAAATATACGTTTAGGGCACTGTATATGATGGTGAGATGAAACCCATGATCGTATATTTAACCAGGCAACAGTATTTGTTGGTAATTCAGAATCTTCTTTATGTAGTAAAACTAATTCTTTTTGAGTACGCAAAGCTAAACGTTCAATTTCTTTTTCGTACTAAATAATAAGAGAAATAAGAATTAATAAATAATGAATAAAAATATAATCAAAAGTTATGTTTTCAGGATTATATTTAGAATAAAACGAAAAGTGTTACTCTTACAGTTATATGGGGTGATTGATTTATCAATGATCACTAGATTTCTTCTAAATAATAATTTTGTGGATTTATTTTTCTTAATATTGATACGATCACATATATGTGATCATATCCCACATTATTATTGTAACGCCGACTAGGCTTATATCGTTGACACAGTGACACACATACTACTACAGGAAGGCAGACTTCACACATAAACACATTTGGAATTCATGGACATTGTGCCATAATATGGCAGTTGACTTTTTACAATCATTGCGATCATTACTCTTGTCTTATATTTAACTTAAATTATCTACCACTGAAAGAGTGTGTCACTGTCAGCTCCCTGTTGGATTATTATCATCTCTAAGTGTCTAGCAGGTTGTACTCTTTATTTAATATTTCTTTGTTTAATATATATTTATATTGTTGTTAACCAGGTTTATATATATGTATATATATTGTAGTGCGACCCTTGGTAGTTTCTATAAGGAAATATAAATTAAATAGGAAACCTCAGTACCTAAGGTAGTTATAGCCTAGCCAGCTATTCCCCGTTGGTTTTTTAGACTCAACCTCTAAATAGCAACATAACAATATAGTACTATTTATTTCTTGATTTATAAGAGATTAAATTTTTTTTAGCCACTTTTAACATTTATAAATGTAAACTGGAAGTGAAGTGCAGGTTATGTTGTTTTTATCATTACATAAACTCTGCTGAATTTCTCTTCTCACCCAAGTATTAAAATGGTCATAACTCTTGAAATAATGATTCAAATGTTGTTAACAATCAATAATCTTCTTAATTGAATTATTTTCTAACATTTAAACTAGTAAAATGAGTATGGCGTTATTTAAAAAAATAAAGTTGATACCATTATAACGGATAAGAGATGGGCCTAAAAAAGAGTAACTACTTAAATTGAGAAAAATTACTATTTAAATATACCAAATATTTTTTTTCTTCAAAATTATTATTTTAAAATAGTGTTCAACGATAAATCAATCACTCTATCTAGTGAAGATATTAAAGACGAAGATTGGAAAATTATATATGTAATGTATGTTTATAAATTATACATCCATAATTATATTATAATTAAACAAAATTTTAAATTAATTTAATTTTAATTTACCTTTCCAATTGTTGGTTGCTTGTTTCCTAAAGCAATAAGTAATATACAATCAGCCTGTCGGATACAACGTTGTGTCCAGGGGGAAAATGAGTAGTCACATTGATAGAGAGCTATTTTGTTTTGATCTTCTTGCTGAGCTAACCAAGTGGTAAGTCGGTATTCATTACTATACTCCATTATAGATTTTCCCAATACATTTCTTACATAATCAGAAGTCAATCTTATGGTAGAACCAATTGAACATAATGAATGGTATAATTCATATGTAAAGCTAGTTAATGGTACATCTTCTGATAAGGGTACAATGGCAATGGTTGAAAAATTACTTTGAGTTGGTCTAGTATCTACTGTTTTACTAATTGAGGGCTTTTGCCAAGTACCTAAGTTAGATAAAAAAATGTTATATACATTTTAATTTTTTACATTTTACATTGGTGGTTGTGTAATTTGTTTCTGTTTTTAAATAACTGAATATTTTTTGATATTTTATAATAAAATAATGAGTAATTATTAATAATATAAAAATTAATAAGTTAATATTTTAAAAACTCTAGATAATACTGTCAGTTAATAGGTCAATTGGTGTAATCTTCACTTTTAGCTTTGACTGAGAAGTATGAAAAGTAGAGCTGAGAAGGTATTAATTTTACCATAGTGTTTTTATTTTTTTTTTAATTTAAGATTGTATTTTAAATAGATATTTTTATAGATGATTATTTTACCTAAAATTCTATGCCCAAGTAAATTAATAAGTGTAGATACAACTCCAGGAAATCTTGATTTAATGAAATTAAATAATCCTTCTGGTAATTTAGCTAGTTCTGAATCTCTTACAGCCATAACTGTTGTCCCTCGAGGCATTTTTGTAACTACTTCTACCTATATAAAGGATTATACATAAAAAATAATATTATACAATATATATACATAACAGGTTGTTTGAAGGCCCAGAACTAACAAATAAATACACATTTTCTTTAGCAAAATTTTACTTTATTCATTGAAATAGTTTCCATCTAGAGTGATACATTCATTCCAATGACGTTCTAACATTTCTATACCTTTTGAATAGAACGATTTAACTTTGCCCTTAAATTATGCCTCAAATTCGGCAATAACTTCTTCATTTGAGCTGAACTATTATTTCTGGAGCATTTGCTTGACTTTCTTAAAGAGGTAATAGTCGCTAGGGGCCAGATCTAGACTATACATTGGGCATGGCAGCAATTCAAAGCTCAAGTCATGCATTTTTGCCATCGTTTTTAATGATTTGGGACACGATACACAGTCTTGGGAAATCAAGATTTTTTTATTTGCCATATACTGTCTTTTTTCCCAAATTTTGGCCTACAAACTCTCCAATAACACAATGTAGTATTCGTTATTGATTGTTTTACCATGTTCGAGATAATCAATGAAAATAATTCCATAAGCATGCCAAAATACCAAGGCCATAATCTTGCCTGCTAATTATTGCGTTTTTGGCCACTTTGGAGCACTTTCACCGAGTTCAGTCCATTCAGCTACCTGTTTTGATTCAGGAGTGTAGTGGTGGATCAACGTTTCATCCATTGTCACATATCGATGCAAAGATTACTTTCTATTCTTGTTAAATAGCTCTAAAGAGCTCTGTGAGTCATTTACACGTTGTTGTTATTGGTCCATTGTTAACAAACATAGCACTCAATTTTTATTGAACTTTAATTGTTTATTAGATATAAACATTCAAAGTTTCACATTTTTGAGTTAATATACATATATAATACACAAGGGATTACAAATACAGGTAGCTAATTGGTTTTTTATGGCATCAATATTTGCAGGTACACAGCATTGTTATTATCAATGGTAGTAAGGCACATTGTTGTGAGTTCATAAATATACTAACAGACAATATAAAAAGTATATCTATTGATAGTCATAATTGATAATAAACAATTTGTGGCTGTGACAGCGATGAATTGAACTTAATTGAAAATCGAATAAAAATTCATATGCCATTTACTATTAAATTAAAAAACTCAAACATTTTATTAAATTCAAAATATATGTTCCCATTTAAAAAGGAACCCTTGCAAGAAATAAGGGATGATCTTAAAAAGTATGACATATTTATTAATTCAAGAATAATGTGTAACTAAAATTAATAAAAAAAAAAAATGTTCAAATTATATTTATTCTGTAAGTAATTTAGTGGATTATGATAAAAAAATCACCCTGTATATGTATAATAATATTATTATTTATTTATTATAAAATTCTAAATAAATATATGTATATGGAGTGATTTTATTTAACACTCACCAAGTAAATTCTATTAAAATAATGATTGTTTTGTGAATTTTTATTTACTTAATTATTTCAATTTATCTGTTATAAAAAATTTTTTATATCCATACATTATGTCTTATAAGGATGTCAACTTTACTTTTTGAATGACAACATACATTTTTAATTAGCTTATTAAAAATTATGTAAATTTAAAATTTAAAAACATAGCATTATAAAATATATTAATTAAAGATGTTATAAATTAAATAGTTAATGCCTAGTACTCAACTTTTTGTTTAACTTTTAAATTTCAATATTCATTATCTCTAATATAAATAATCTTCTTCAAATGATCATTTTCTATAATATCAAATAGTTAAATTTTTCCATTCTAAAAAATTAAGTTGGTACCCTTTAAAAAACAAAGGGTTAGACCAAAAAAGTATTTAATCACTTATAAATTGAATAATAAACAAAACCAAAAAAATTCTCAAAATTATTATTATTTTTAGGACAAATTTAGTGATTAAAAGTTTAATGTTAACGAGTCATCCTTTATATTATAATTATTTATTTATAAACAATGTAAAATAGAAAAAATAATAAAAATAAAAATTCTATAAATCTTACAATTCCAACAAGGTCTCCTTTACCATATTCAGCTACTAATTCTTTTTTTCCATTTTCATGTGTTACAACTGAACGTAATCGTCCACTCAAGACTATGAATGTACTATCAGATTCTTCACCTTGCCTAATATTTTGTTTAAATAATATTAATTGGTATAATAAAATGGAGAAATTCAAAATTGTTATCTACATACTACATACAAGTAACAAATATTAAAAATATTCAATTATACTGCCTCAGTATATATCTTAACATTCTACAATATATTTGTATCAATATTTATAAAATAAGCGTTTTTAAATATTTTTCTACATATTTTTTTAGTTATTAATGTGAGACTCATAGTTCTATTTCAAACTATACAAATAAAATCACCATTTAAAAAATAAAAAATTTAAACTAGTATTTAATCAACCTCAACACTTGAAAACTGACATATATATTGTTACAGTATAAATAACAAAATACTATTTTAAACCCTAAAGCTTTTCATTTCGAATGTAATGCAACAATAAAAAATTAAAAGCAGTAAAAGTATTTAACCTACTCATACCATAATTACAATAAAATATACTTGAAAAACATACAAAAATATTTTATATAAATCAATGAGTACTGTTGCTTTAATTTGTAAGAAAATGTTTACTATAAAAAAATATTTAATGAGTATTAAATATTTCTACCTGTAAACTGCACGGCCACTTTCAATAAACAACCAATCTAAACCAAAATCTACTTGGCGCACAAATGGTGATAATCTTGTTAGAACAGTATGAGCAATTGGTAAAACTATTTGAGGTATTTCTTTCATTATTCTAGAAAAAATTATACATTTATTAACTAAGTAAAATAAAAATTATCTTGTAAAATAATTGGCTGATTATTAAATAATCTTGTGTAAAACTTAAAGAGTATTTTCTATGATATCTCATTTTGCACCCAAAGTATTTTATTTTAGCATAGAAAATAATTAGACATCAATATATATTATTCTTTAAAATTGTGTGTATTACTTACGCATATACTGTATTTTTTGATAAAATTGCTACAACACTGGGTCGATTAGTTCTAAATGATAAAAATCCTGGTTCTCCAGTAAGTATTGCCAAACCTCCAACAATATCACCAGGATTTACTGAATACATATGAACTTCTGTAAGTCCATCAGGGTCCATCTTTTGAGATACTACCATAGAACCATTTAACAATAATACTAATGCTGCATCCTATTTGAATACATTATTAGTAACAAATCAATGTAATATAATTTGATGCATATTATACTAAATTGACAAACTGAAGTTTTGATATTTCTGGATGCAGAAAATATTAACTTTTATATGAAAAACCTTTAATGTGACATGCTTATTTAGCGATGGATAAAATAAAAAGTGAAAGCATGTTTAATTTTATAATGATTATTTTTTAATTAAATTGTTTGTCTTCTGAAAAATTGAGATTTTCCCATGAACAATAATATTATAAAATCCATGTTAAAAAATATCTTAATATTTTTAAAAACCTATGATGCTTTATTATAAATACAATAATATATCTGTGTATATTCTTAAATAAAATTACAAATTATTATAGTTCCAATAAATGTTTACCTTATGAGAGTCTTCACGCATTATAAAAGTATTATTTGGTATATTACGTATCTCAATCTTTCCTTCCAATAGTTCATCATTTTCTAGCTTAAACTCTTTAGCAAAAACCTTTTTAGCCATTTTAAGATACCAATCATTTTTATTCATGTTGAAGTTATCTATTTTATCTAATGTAATTTCTGAATCTTCTTTATTTGAATCACATTCTATGTTAAAATAATTAGTAAACAATGTATGTGAATATATTAAAATTATATTACTACTAAGATTAAATAAAATTTACCTTTTTGCAGAAACATACATGAATTATTTTTTGAAACTGAAATAAAAGGACTAACATGGTCGCTATTTGCACCCTAAAAAAATATACAAAGTAAATTATACAAAAAAAAAATACTCTACACTTTGACTATTAATATAAATAAGTTTAAAAAATTTAATTTTAACATCTAAATGATATATAATACTCACATTTTGTACTAATTCAGTTGAAAGTCCTAAATATTGATGAAGAGCTGTAAATGTAACTCTTTGCAATCTTACCATAACAACTTGAATGATCTGAATTAATGAATCAGGATAATCTTGTAAAACTTCTTGAAATGCAGCAACTGGTAAACGTACAATTGTACTGTCTTCAACTGCTATAGCACTTACAGTTTTGTATAATTTTTTGTGACCCTATATTTGTTTTTTGAATTTGTTTTTTTTAATAGTTACACAAAATTATACAGAGAAAAATTAAGCTTATTAATTATTAAATAACTTACTGTAAGAACATCTGTAAAGCTCAATAAAGAAGCAATACTATCACCAGTTTTTACAAGCTTTAAAGGTATAGAAGTACCATCAATAAGAATAGTATTTACACTGATTAATCCATTCTGAACAATAAAAACATTTTCATCTGCATCACCAACCTTAAATAGTTGACTTCCTGCATGAACATTTAATACTTCAGTATGGCGACAAAGCTTCAAAAATATGGGTTTTTCAAAATGTCCAAACATTCTAAAATATAAATTGATCAAAATTAAAATATAAAAAAAGGTAAAAATACCTTAAATAAGAATATTAAAAAGAAAGATAAAGCAAGAAAAGAAAACTAAAAAATGGTTTACAGAAAATCATAAGAAACAATTATAAAACGTTAAAGAACATTTACCTAAATTAATTTCAAACACAAAACATATATTAAAATCCTTTACAATAATTTAATCCAAGAATATTTAAATTTTAAACATGACAAGATATAATAACAAGGTATAACCATACAAATATAGAACATGAAAATTTTCTTGATTAGGAAAAGTGGATTTAACATTACCATAATTTATAAATTATTCATATATTAAGTGAGGGTAAAATGAGATTTTGATGTTCCTAAATTAAGATTATAGTAACAAATACATTTATCAAAAACAAAAAAAATTAATTAAATAAAGGATTTTTATTAAAAATTTCTAGTTTAATCAGCAACCTGAATTTTTTTTTAAAAATGGAGTTATCTAATATTTGCACAAAGCCCTTCAAATAACATATTTGCAATTAACTATAATTATATACCTGATACTTTGTAGCATATAAAATGCATCAGGAGGAACATTTTGACCATCTTTCATTATTAGTTCTTCCTCTAAATATTCAGCAGGTGGTTCCAATACCTAATAACATCATAAACGTAGTAGCACAATAATAATAAAACAATCTAATATTAATCTAACTATTACAGAACAAATTATAATTTACATTTAAGCGTTGAGGTGTAGTATCTTTACGTATTTGTAACAAACGTCGAGCAAATTTCATGACTAATTTCCTTTTTTTTCCTTGTCCATGTACTTGGCCAGATATATTTTTTACCTAAAAGAGTAATTAATAACTTTATATTCAAATTATTGTAAACTAGGCAATTAAAATTTAACACTAAACAAATAATATTAGATAAATTGTATATATATAGTGTCCCACCTAATTCTGAAATTTTTAATAACTTTTGATCGATTAAATATTTTGCAATACTTTTTTTTTAATCTTTTTTATTGTTTGGAATATGTTTAAACACATTTTTTTATCATTCGTCTCAAATAAGAAAACAAAATAAATAAATTGTATATTTTTCCAAAATTTTAAAATAGCTATTTTCTTACAAAAAATTTTGATGGTCAATAACAACTTTAGGATTAGTACATATTGATTATTTGGAAGAAATTAACTAAAAAATAGCAATTATTAAATAATTTTATAAATAAAAATTAAAAAAATGAATTAATTTTTTTCTTATGCAAGACAAATAATAAAAAAATGTGTTTAATGTTTATTTAACATAATCCAGAACTATAAAAACGATTTTAAAAAAACCCAGTACAGGGGGGTTGCGGCACAGTAGTGACGTGGCATAGTTGGATCAAGTATAATGATATCTGACAGTGATTAAAATCACTATCAAAAAAAAAACGCTTCGATGCAAATCTTTAAATAGTGTTTAATTTTAAAAAATTGATGGATTATTCCAAAAGTTACATGATCTGCTAGTTCCTTATTAATATCCTGATTAAGATAAAGTATGTCGAATGAAAAATGTATATAAATACTACTTCTCATGAAAAATTGTATTGATCCATACAGTTAAAAAATAAAAATAAAATCGAGAATTTTTATACAAAAATAGCATTCGGTAGCCATTTTCACTGTGAAGACAAAATAAAGTCCAAAATTTTTTTTTTTCATAATAAAGTACATTACATTAGCTTTAATTTAAGATATATATAAAAGTGTCAGACCTTTCGGAACACTTTAAAAAGTTAAGTTGAAAAAGTTCTACTTTTTATATGCATTTTTCAGATCTAAACACCCCTCGTATATAAGGAAATAGTCTGATTTAAAAAAAAAAGTATGTCGAATGAAAGAAGTATATAAATATTATTTTTTATAAAAAAATTGTATTAATCCATACATTTTTCAAAAAGTTATAACATTTTAAAGTTAAAAATGTAAAATATAAAATCGAGAATTTTAACACAAAAATAGCATACGGTAGCCATTTTCACCGTGAAGACAAAATAAAGTCCAAAATTTTTTTTTCCATAATAAATTATATTACATTAGCTTTAATTTAAGATATACATAAAAGTGTAAGTATTTCCGGAACACTTTCAAAAGTTAAGTTGAAAAAGTTAATTTTTTGTGAAAAAATTGTCATTTTGTATCCCCCCCTTGTGGGGTAAAGGGTTAAATTTATAAAAAAAAATATACTAAATGATAGGTAAAGACATCAAGCATCTATAAAAAAAAAATTATATTAATTTGTTCATTTTTGAAATAGTTATGGCAGTTTTAAGTAAAAAAAAATTGAAAAAATTTCGAAAATTAACGATTTTTAAATTTGTAATTTTTTTGGAGGTTTCCCCCATTTATGAGGAACGAGGGAAATTTTTTCAATTTTTGTGGGTAATGTCTTCGACTAGATACAATTTGTGATCTTTTGACGTATCGTTGAAAGAAACCGGTTCGGTGAGAGCTGAGAAAAAGTGGTAATAGACAAAAAAAAAAACACACATAATAATAAAATTAATACCTTCTCAGCTTCGCATCGAAGCTAAAAGTAATATAAAATATTTGCTGGATCAAAAGTTATTAGAAAAATAAAACATGGTGGAACACTGTATATTAGGGTGGTCTTTAAATGACACATGATATTGGATAGTCATTATTGGCTAATGAAATGACATTTGTAACGCTTTATATTATATCATTCAAAAGTTTGTTAATTCATGTTTATCTAATATGAAATAAAAAATAATAACAATACAAATTAATAATAAAAATAACATACTTTTCTAAGCATTTTACGTCCATAAAATAATACTTTGTCTCGTTTACGAAATCTTGTTTTTAATGGTGCATTGAGATCTTTTCTTCGGTAACTTAAATCTAAAAATTTTTAATCAAAATTATAATTGAAAAATATGAACCGTGGCGCAAATATGATATTTTTTAACCACACTCTCCTCCTAACCAATAAAAATGTTAATAACTTCTAAAATACAGGTCCAATAATTATCAACCCTTTTCTTAATTAGAACATATCCTTTTTTTTTTTAAGTTAGTTAATTTGTATGTGACCTTTATAATTTATATGGAATGAAGCTAAAAAGTTTATAAAAATTAATAAATCAAGAAATATATGTAACTAAAAAAACACCAAACTTAAACCAATATTGTGTTTATTTTACGAGTAATTTATTTGATTAAGATAAAGGTATCACTTTTTATTGCTTTTATTCATGAGTATTTGCTACTTATATATATATATTTTGCAAATGTCTTTCAAATAACAATTTTTTTTCAATGGTGGATAAAAAGAAGGTCTATGAATTATTTTGTAGAATAGTATATCAAATATACCCTAGTTTGTCCTTGGTTTAAGGATATACAAGGTGATTAATAAATTACGCCTCACACAAAATCTTTACAAATATAAACATATTATAATTTTTTCTCTTCAAAAGTTAATAGTATCCTATGTTTTATAATTTTCAAAAAAAATATTAGATCTCTCCCCTTTAAAGTAGTATCAACTTAAGTTTTTTAAATGGAAACTTATATTTAATTAGCTTAAGAGTAAGAAAGTGATCTAACTAAGCAAATACCTGATCAATAACAACTATTAGATCAGTATTTTAAAAGATATTAGGACTTTTATATCATGAAGGGAGGAGTAAAGCGGGTCTGTTTATTTTTATCTCTATACATAAATAAACCACACTACTCCTCAGGCACGGTTAATCGATCATCTTGTATAAGACCAAAAGTATGTAACAAGATCTATCATATATTATTAATTTTCAGATTAAATGATTAGACCAATTTCTAGACTTCCTTAATAAAACTTTTTATATCATTGTTTGAAAATAACTTTGTTGTTCTCCTACAGCTAGTATTATTTTTTATAAAGCCTAATATCCTAATAGCTCTAGCCTATTTAAGTCTATAATATATGCTTAAATACTAACAACTACTTACTTTTTATCCTCCATTTGTAAAATGCAACTGTACACAATAAACTTATAACTGCAGTTGCTGTAAAAATCAAAATGACCGTGATCATTTTCTGAAAAAAAAAGAAATCAAATTAAAAATACATTTTCTAATCGAGTATCCATGACTAATAACATCTCAGTGTAATAGAAATATCATTTTAATGGTTATACAAGGATAAAATTAATTTTTTAAATACAAATTTTTTTCAAATATGATAAAAAAAAAGTGTGTTAAAGGTTGGAACTTTTCAGGTTTTATTTTATTTTGATGAAAAAATTTTCTTTTATATGTGATTTACTCTTCTGAAAGAGTCTACACTTAATAAAAGATAAACCCCTCCTGAAAAGTAGTTTTGAAATTTTACAATTTTTAGAAAGCATTTATACTTTAATTTTTTTAATTAAAATTTTATAAATGTATAAATTTTAATAAGAGGTGGTAACATATTTTCTATTATTTGAAAAGTAGTTTTTTTTTATAATACAAAAGAACATAATATTACCTTAACATTGGATTATATAATTCTATTAGTACTTTTTTTTTTACTATTTATACTGTATAAATAAGTTAATACTATATCAATCGTTTTTTTTTTCAAAATTCAATTAATAAATTAATAGAAATTATAACTTGCTTAATTAATTATAATTCTAATAGATTTGTATCGAATACTTACTTCTGTAACTACATGTTGGTAAGTAGACATTAACCAATTTCGAAAAAATGAGTAATTAATGTCATTTTTAAAGGATACAATTAATTCAAATATCCCCATAATTTAAAAATATAACATACAGAAAATACTAAAGGTAGATGAGGATACTCATCTAGAGTATCCATTGAAAAAGTCAATACGAGTTATTTTATGATAAGTGAGATTTCTAAAGTACATTACTAATTGTTTACACATTATTCGAGTGCATTTTTCTTCATAAAGGTAAAAATAAAAAAATTGTCGAAACAATATAAAGTGGACTAATTAAACCTGTCTGGTTTTCATGAAAACTATTGATAATAACTATTATTATCGTTCATATTAGAATTATCATAACAATATTATTGTCCATATAACAGCTGTTCAATTTAATCTACTTTAGATATAATAATAAACTATAATAACATTATAAAATTAACCTAACCTGTTAGTATATTAACTGGCTAGACTAGTTAATGTGTGCTTTTAATTCGTTTATTTTGGAAATAGTACGTTATTTATTATCAAATTATTTAATTATTTGTGTATATTTATTAAATTTTGCAGTGGCGGTCAAATGGTAGTGGTTTAAAAGGGTAAATCCCCTTCCTTTGTAAACATTTTTGTACAATTTTCATAAAAATAACATTTTGAAAACTTTATATGTATATAATAATTCTATTCAAAAGTTACTGAACATAACTAATATGAAAATATTAATCATACAAGTTTTGAAGATTAAATTTCAACTCATGTTAGTTATCTATATGTGGGTAAATTCAACTGGGTACTGTTTTAAAATAAATTAAAGATTTGAAATAGGCTTAATTAAAACAAAGCCATTTATGTGCAACAAATAGTAGTGCGACAAAACTTAGTAATACCCAGATTTAGTTAATATTATTATAAATAGGTTAGGAGTTTAAGAACCAGAGGCACAATAAGGGGGGTAAATTGCTAGTGCATACAGTAGTGGTCAAAATTATAAGACATCCCCTAATTTTATATTTTACGCGTTTAGATTTTGGGCTTATACGCAATTGTAAACGTTTAAATCATCAAGTAAATGCATGAAACTTTTTTCTTTATATAATATGTCATAAACTTAAAAAAACCGCTAATTTTGCATTGGTTCCATTTGTAACTTAATTTTTACTTACATTTTCGTTAAAATATTATTTTTACAAATACAGCAAATTTCAGTCAATAAATCATTTTAAAGGCTTTCTAAAACAGTTTTACTATATTGAAAAAATAAAGTTATTTGATAGTTAATTACCAAAAATAACTAAAAATAGCTTATTTTACGGTGTTTAGTAATTCTCATTATTTGCCTAAGGTTTAAATATTTTTAACTGAATCGACTTGATAATTTTTTTCATCAAACTTAATTATCCAAATAAGATGTAAAAAAAAAATTATGCAGTTGGATGTTAGAAAAATTTGTTTAGAAAGTCTTTAAAATAATTTATTGTCTGAAATTTGCTTTATTTGCAAAAATTATATTTTTATCGAAAATAATCGTAAACATTAAGTTACAAATGGAACCAATGCAAAAAAAGCGGTTTTCTTTTAAATTTATGAACACTTTATAAAGAGAAAAAAATTGTATGCATTTACTTGATGATGTAAACGTTAATGATTGCGTACAAACCCAAAATCTAAACGCGTGAAATATAAAATTTAGGGATGTCTTATAATTTTAACCACTACTGTATATATAACTATATTATTAGAATTTTTTAGTCAATTTTTTTTAGTTTCTTCAAATCTTTCTGAATAATCACGCAGTGTAGATAATATTTGATGGAAAAAAAAATGATATAATAATAACAATAGCCTTCCAGTAAATTATTTTCTGATTGCGCCACTGATAGGAGTACAGTTCCTATAAAGTTTTATTATTTTAAAGATTTTTCATACTCATGGCAAAATCACTTGACCACCACTAAAACTTCGGTAATTATGAAAAAACTAGAAAAAAATTTACTTTATTTTTTTTCGTTGCTTTTAAACTTGAAAATTACACGATAATCGGGTTAAAACAAAAACTAGTTAAAACAAAGATGTAATTACAATAAATAAAAACAATGAATAAGCTTAATTAAATAAATATAACGTTTTAACGCGTTAATAGTCAATCTTGTAATAGCATACAATATATTAGGCCCGCATTCAAGGAGAATGGCAAAATATTCTAACATTTATTTTAAAATATAAAAAGTAAAAAAAAATAATGCATTTTATTTATATTCTTGATATTTGTATTTTAGAAAAATGTTATCATCTCTCATAACTTATAAGAGTATCAATTTTATTTCTTAATATTTTGTACGTAATATTTAACTAAATTATAAAATAGGAAATGTTCTAATTGATAAAATGGCAGGTCAATAATAAGTTTTGACTCAATACTTAAGATATTATGACGATTTTGAAATTTAAATTAAGGAGAGACGCCGGTGTGTGACTATTCATTCATTAGTCATATTTCGGCTGTACTGCTCTCACACACGTATAAAAATGTTAAAATTGTTTTTATACTTAATATTTTTTAAATCAATTTTTTAATGCTATCGAAGTATTTATCCAAAAGTTTTTATTGACCACTCATTTTCGTAATTAATTAAAAAAATGATCTAATTAGATCATTTCCTATATTATAAACTAGTTAAATATTATGTTGCCATTAAATAAAGTAAAGTTGACATTCCTTTATGAGGATTAATGCTAAAAAACGGTAGCACAGTGGGGTCGTGGCATAGTTGGGACAAGTATAGATGATATCTGACAGTGATTTTAATCACTATTATAAGAATCGCTTCGATGAAAATTTTTAGATAGTGCTTAATTTTATGAAATATTCCAAAAGCAAAATTAACTCCTATTTTTAACACGCTCGTGGGCGCTTTGTGTCATTATTTTTGTATATTGAACGCCCGATCCTTTTTTCACAATAATACTAGTATTTATCGTTCATTATCGTTGTTTTAAATTTATTTTTAACTTTTTAGTTCAATGTGCTTTAAAATCGTGTTTTTTTAGTTTTTTTAAACTATATTTTTTGTTTAACTTTGACTGCTATTTACACATAGAAGGTCATCGGGAAAATTTTTTTTTCAACTTATAGTACATAATGTAAGTTTTAGTTTTAAATATGTTTAAAAAACGCAGTATTACCAGAATATTACCAAAAGTTAAGTTGAAAAAGTTGACTTATGTAAAAAAGTTGCTGTTTTGAATGCTCCCCTATAATATGTTATTTAATATATTCTATTAATGTTTTATTTCATTATTTGTTAATTAACAATGATTACTTAAAATTATTGAATTTTTGTATGTGTTATTTTTCAGTGGTCTAGAAAACCAAGGATCTACTTTATATGTTTGTTTCAATTGGTTATGTGACATAATATTGGATATAAGTTGTAATTGAACCATTTTATTATTTATTTGGAACATTGCTTAATTTTTCAAGCATATTTCAGAAAAAAATATTCTGAAAATCGTATCATAACTTAATATATAAATTTAAACACTGTTAACCACAATGAGTAAAATAATATAAGTTCTTTTTATTATTATTAGCATATTCTGAATAAAAATAAAATCTTCCAAGTATAAGAAATTTTATTCAAATTTATTTTATTTTTTAAAACTGATTTTTTATAAACAATTTTAAAAGAATTCATTAAGATGTATTACACACATTAACTGTTTGGTGGCATAGGCCACTGTTGCTCTCAACGCCTTAAATGGCTTATGACAATTTACAATTAAAACATAACTAAAGCTATAATTAACTAACAAGGGTCATAATAATGGATTTGTTACGTTGTGATTCATTTTTTGATGTAAAACAATTTTAGCATCATAAAGTGTCTTGTACTGCTTTTATAGTAAAAACTTAATTACCAATAATTACTTAATATTAATTAGTGTATGTGTTATTTTTCAGTGATCTTGAAAACCAAGTATCCACTTTATATGTGTTGGATGCACATCAATATGTTGTCGAGAAATTGTTATGATTATTTATGATATCGTTGTGTTACACCGTGTAATTTTCGGTCTTCTCTCTATGTCTGCGTTGTCGCCGCCATCTTAGCGCATTTTAGCTATAAGCTCTATGGCGTTTGCGAGCCAGAAATGTTGTATTCCTTTTGCTGTAAAAGTAAAATATCACCTTTGCGATTGTCGTACCCTTTTGCGCTCAGTATATTGCCGTTGGGTCTATATATTTTCTGACATACATCACAGAACCCCTCACAGCATATTATACACGTTGGCCAGCTACTTGCATTTGATTTCAATATACAATATTATCATCCGCCGTTTCAATTAACCGATAAGTATAATAATTGTTCATCTTCTTTTTAAGACTTACTCACATTTATAATTTATTATTTGTTTATATCAACGCCATCCTGCCATTAGTATTAAGTGCCCCACCCCCCTTTCCACACTACTGTATATAAGACAAAATAAAACAACAATCGTAACAAACCCGCGTGAATACCACCTGCGTTCATTCAATATGATTGTTTCATTTGGTTTTGGGACATAATATTGGACATTAGTTATAATTGAACCAGTTTATTATTTATTTAAAACATTGCTTAGTTTTTCAAGCAAATTTCAGAAAAAATCATTCTGTAAATTGTATTATAACTTAATACATAAATTTAAACACTGTTAACCACAATTAGTAAAAAAATATAAGTTCTTTTTATTATTATAAGCACATTCTGAATAAAAATAAAATCTTCCAAGGATATCGGACATATCATAATTTGTTTTAATGTCTTTTTTTTATTCAACTAGTTGAAAAAAGTTATTGACAAAACATTGAGATATATATTTCATATAAACAAATTCATTGAATATCATTATTATTACCTTAAATAGTACAATCTGTTTAACGTATTAAATTTAATTACTAACTAAATAAATAGTACAAACAACAAGTTTGTTTTGGTACGTTACATGTAAGGATAGTAAAAATTAAAAGAGTCAACATCTAGCTGCATACTCTGTATAGTGACCAAACGTTAAACAATATAGCATCTGTAGGTACAAAAAAAGTAAATTTTTTTTTTACTGTTAAAACATTGACCATTTACCATTGACCATAAATTTCTCCGATTATCTCTATATTCTTCGCCCAATTTGGTCGCAAAGCACAAACAACAAACTTAGCTTTTTGTGGAGATCTGTAATATCGATAAATACCAACTATATCTTCCTAGAAAAATAGATAATGTTAATCTCTAGAATTTTAATTTAAATTCATCACAATGCTTACTCTATTGAAATAATAATATTTCCCATCATTTGTAATAATTTTTCCAGCTTCATTATACTTTCCAAAGTAACGTATAAAGCCTTCTTTGTTCATGGGCGTATTCAAACCGGCTTCTTCATCAACAGTTACGTTGTCTTCAGTCGTACAGTTTGAATTGTCATTCTCGGTTTCAATGTTTGTCGTGCAAAAACAGCTCGTATTTGCTACCGACTTCACACATTCCACAGGAATCATGCTATGCTCCTCAGTGCCTTCTTCACTTTTTTCTTCATTTACTAATTCATCTACTAACACTACGTTTTGAATATTGATATCAATATTTTGTATTGGGACCAACTCTGTTTGATTATTACTATTTGGATATTTATCATACTCCATAACTTCTAATTAATAACATTTAAAATTTTATTATTATGATTGTTTAAACAATTAGTCCAAAGTATATATTTTCTACTGAATTTATATAAAATCTATATATTCTGTTATCAATTATGAAAATACATTATAGGTAAAATTTAACTGCTAAAAACAACATTATTTCAAAATAAAAATTGTAATACTTTAATCCAGAATTATTAAAGTATTATTCAAAATTATTAAATCTATTATTTAATATGACAAATATAAAAATAAAATATGCGCAATTGTCTATTTTGACCTAGATAAAGCATTTAACAATATTGATCACAGTTAATATTATATAAATTAAAAATATAAAATTAAGGAAAGCAATTTTACATATTTTTCGTCATAGTTAAATAACATAAAACAACACGTGTAAAATAAACGAGTGTATTAATTCGTTGTACCCATAAAATGTTGGATACTGAGAGAATTTTCGTTGACTATCGTTTTAAGCTAAATTTTATTAAAAAATACCTGAGCCAGATTGAGCTAAGATACCATCTTTATTATGCTTCCTTTTTTTTTGAAACGCAGCATGTGAATACTCTTAGACACCGACGAAAAAAGTTCTTTATCTTCAACGTATCAAAATACCTTTTCAAATTTATTGTGGTTTTCAGTAATAAAGTATGAGCACAAAAATTAGTTTTCTTCACGAAAATTTAACAACAAGCTAATATTTATTTGTGTAATAATACTGAGTATCACATGGCAACTTATATATTACTACTCTAATGATTTTAAGACATTTAAATAATTGCATAAAATTAAAAGATCTTCAAACATAGAAAATAAAAGACCTCTATTCATAATATACAATTCATTTAACATAACAGAATGACATAAATTGTGATTTTCTATTTAACTGTTTACATAATTTAAATTGTCAAATTAATATTTAATTATTAGTTACTAACTTACAAAAAATGTCATGAGAAGTTGTAAATTATCATTAATGATAATTAGAGTTACAGTTCATATTAAGCATTGCTTAAGTATGATATTATTTAAATTTCAATTAAAATCTTCACCTGCTGGAAACGTTGAAAAACTAACATTTTTATAAGCGTATCTATAGATACTCTTACTATTAGTTATATATCCCTATAGTCTTATAGTTGGCGATGCCGACTATTTACTTAATACATATACGTCTATAGCAAATATACAAATCTTATATATAGAAACTATGTATGAGATATATATATCTTATATCTATATATACAATCAATGTATCATTGGTTGCATATTTTAAATAAATATCTAAAAAAATATCAATTAGTTATTTATAAAATGAATTTTAAATTATTTAAATATATAATTATTATCCACCTGATGTACTTACCTATAAAAAGGTCTACAATTAAAGAAATATATTTACCAAAGTCAGGATTTTTCTATTATTAGTATATTTTAATCAATATATAAAATATTATTAAATGTGAAAATGGTGTATCATTAATAATATGGAAATATGAAACCATTTTTATTCAAATCAATAATTTTATTAAAAAATTATTGTAAAAATAAGTTAGAATTAATAGGTTTATTTAGACCGTGATACATCCCAATAATAATTATATGAAGCGTTTGAATCATATTGGCCACAGTGAATATGTACTACAACTGACAGCGGAAATTTATCAATAGAAATCTTTAAACTAATGTTAATCTTTAAACTTTTTAAAAAACATTATTTATTTTATTCATAACTTGGTTTAGGCAATATTTCGGTTCAATATGGTAATATTGACCAGGATCCTTGTAGTATTTTTTTTATTAAGTGTTCTGGAATCTTTGGAGAAACTATCATTAAGTTCTTCATTTTTTAGTATAACTTATAGGGGGTGTTTAAGGTTAACTGTCCATCATCATATAACTAACTTTTTAAGAACAATTCTTTAGTTATAAGTCATAAATAAAATTTTATTTATTGATTTGTATTCAAGATTTTTACCCAATCTTCTTGCGATAAAATAGTTTTAGTATTAAACAGGAACGAATGTAAAAAAAAGGTTTTTTAACCGAAACCTTAAAAAATTTTAGAACCCGAACCGGAATAGGACTTTTTATTTTCAGATAGCCACGAACTAGAACCCAACCGGAACCTTTAATAATTAAGTGCTTAAACGGTTTTTAGCTGTCAAGCATTATTTTATTTATATAATTTTTAATAAAGTTAAATATTTTTGATAACAAGTGAGAATGGTAAGAATTAGTAAAAGCTTTATTTTTAAATCCATCTCAATGGTGGTTATATACGAAACGATTCAATTATCGCCCCTCTATGCCAGCGATTTTATTAATTATTGTAATAAAAATAGTATTTAGCATGCTATAGTATTAACTGTACAGTCATTATAAAAAAATTTCACATAATAATATAAATAAAAAAATGTATTAGATTTAAAATGTTTACATTATAAAATTTTAATTAAAGCATATGTATGCGCATTCAGTATAAATATCGGGTATGCTAAAAATTTTTTTTAAGACTATTATAGGATTTCTTGTCGAGTAATCATCGCAAAATTATTTTTATTTACAACTTATAGTATTAGTCTCTATTAGAATATTTAGTCTATATACTACTTTATATCCCTAAATGTTTTCCTATAAGAGCAATACATCGAACATATATGAGTTTATGATCAATGTATTGGTTTGAAGACAAACATACGAAAAAATACGTATAAAACATATAAAAAAATCAATACCTCCATAGCTTTTTACCGAAGTTAATTTTGAAAAAAAAATACATTAAGTCATATCATGACATACATAATTTTTTTACAAGATCCCCCCAAAAAAAATCTCCAGGCAATGAATTTTATCCTTCAATTTATCCAGTATACTATGTACCAATTTTTTCTTACCTAAAAAAATATTTTAATACAATAATAAACATAATTTACTAAATATTTTTTATTTTGGTTGGGTTCTTTTTATTAGGAGAGGAATTGACCCTTATTCTTTAATTGGAAGCCAAATTCCCTCATTGTGAGAGTGTCTAGGATACAGAGTATTAGGTTTACCATCATCTTCGGTGTCTGTTTTTTTATCTGGCTTGCATAGGCCTTCAAAAAAAAAAAAATTATCCGGTCTCCTAATGTCTAAATTTAAAAGAATCAATACGAATAATAAAAATAGATCAAATCAACAAGTTTATTAACTAAAATATATTTATAGTATACATAAGAATATGAGCATAGAAAAAAATTTATAGTTATACACTTAACATTGATCAAGTTGTTAATTTTCATACCACTTTTTCATAGTTTCAGGTACATTTATCTTGCTTTTATACTTATTTACTAGTTTTGAAAATGAAATATCATTTTTAGCTGAATTTTTCTTTTTACTTTTCATCTATGCAAAATATAACAATAAAATTATTAGTAAAAAAATTAATTAAAAATTAAAAATGTACCTTAGGTTCTCTTTTCTTTTCATTCCTAAGTGATAACTCTCGTTTTTTTTTCAAAGATAATTTTTTTTTAGTTTTAACGTTTTTTTCGTGTGCTTCTGATTGAATTTTCAATTTAAATTTTGGACGAATTGATGTATGACCCTACACAAATTTTTACAAAACTATTAAATTGAATTTTGGTAAAATTATTTCAGTACATAAAATTTTTATCACATACTGGTTTAGCTGTGATTCCAGTATAATTAGGTAAATCATTTTGTTTTCTGTTTTTTATAGAAGTGTGTTTATTATTTTCATTTTTATTGGATGTAATTTTTATATTTTCATTTTTGTAATTTTTGTTTAAAGGATTACAAATTTTACTTTTATCTATTCTTCTTTGTCTCGCTTGTAATACAAGTCTGTTTTCAATAGAAAATGCTACAATAGGTCTCTATAAAACAAAAATTATAAATAAATAATTTTTGACCATTTAAATATTGATTATTTGTAAATCTTTTTTTTTCATTTTACTTTGTTAGGATGGAAAATATTTGGATTATTATTAATTGCTCTAAGAGCTTTTAGAGCATCCTCGTGTTCTTTAAATGTCACAAATCCATATTCTTTAGAAACAGGAATTCCTTTTGGATCAATTTTTTTTAAATTTTTCATAACTACAGCCTGTTTACAAAAATATTTTTTTAATTCTATCAACAACACAAAGATATGTTTTTAGTAAGAAAGAACAAAGTCATTTTTGATTAATTTTCAACTATATATTTTTAACAACTGGTATGTATCTTTTTTCTTTAGCTTTTTAGGCTCATTATAAATTAAAATGACCTTCTCAAAAAGGAGAGTTTCCTAACTATTGATATTCTGGGACAAGTGGTTAGGCTATTGCCAAAGAGAAAGATGATGAACTAATCTCCCACTTGGTAAATAAAGCCGCTCGAAACTGACTTTATCACCATGTAACTATTCTTCTATAACTTTCCAAATTCAAATTGTAATACATTATTAATTTAACTACATACACTAATAATTAAGATAGCAATAAATTGGATGTAAAATTATAAACAATTTTCACAAATAACAAAAAGTGACTTATGCTCTTTCTCACGATAAGCATTAAACTAAATTTTTTCATTTTTTGCTCACTTTTGAAACTGCTTTTGAGTGAGTATATTTAATAAATAATTCTTTAAGTTTTTTATTATCCATACTAGCAGGCAAATTATGAACAATAAGTCTATTACGAGCAACAAACATATTTAAATTTTTAAGAACTTGAGACTTCCATTGCTCTAATTCAAGTCGCTTGTTCATATCACTTATAGATACACCATTGGCTGCAGCAGTACCAGCAACAATAACTAAGAAAAAAATTGGCCCAGTTTAAAATATGTTCATTTTTTTTTTAATGTTTTACTAAAATAAATCTAGTAATTTGATAATAATTTCTTACTATGATAAGTATATTTTTAAACCATAGCACCCACTATTGCCATACTGCAATTTCAATGTATTTTAACTCATTATTTTTTATATATTCTAATAGATATAATAAATATTGAAAAAATTAAAAAATTAGGTGCTAATGAGTTAAAATAAGATTATTATACTATACATTTTTATGATTTAAAGTACAAAACATAAACTATTCTGATTTTTCTAAAATTACCTCCTTCTTTTATCAAGTATAAATTTCTATTGTCTTTATGAGTAAATTTTTCTTGCTTAGACTTATCTAATATTTCTTTATCGACCGCAATTTGGGGCTCCATTAATGAACCACACAAAGTTAAATTTTCAGGTGAAGCCGTCATACAAGCATCCACACTTGTAGTATCCTATTAATATTAACAAAACCAATTTATTAAACTATAATACAAAATAATTGTTTAATTATGACTCACGCAATATGTTTTAAGTATAAAACGTATTATAATTTTTTTTTTTTTAGGTTAATAGTACCCTACATTCTATATTTTATAAGTAGGAATATATTTTTTTTAAATCATATAATATAAAATATTAACTTTTGAGATGAAAAATTGATGTTTTATACTATTAAAAATATTGTGTATATGACATACACAATATTTTGTTTAGTTAAACTAGTAATAGATCATCTATGACAGATAAATAATAGCACTGAATTGATGTGAATTATCACTTATAATTTTATTATATAATACAGAATTATTATCAATGAAAAACATAGATATGAATTAAATTAAATTTTTAGGAGGCTTAGCCAGCTGTATTCGGCACTAGGGCGAAGTTATGTAACCGATAAGACTTGATTTATTAGTTTTTATACTCACCCTAAATTTAACGAAAGCAGTTCCTTTTGAGTGTTCAGTTAGTTTATCAACACAAATCAGAGCATAATAGACTGATCCAAATTTTTCTCTCATAAACCGTTTTAAATCCTCATTTTTTACACTGAATGACACATTTTTCAGAAATACTGTAAGACCTTCTTTAGCATCATGAGATTTGAAATGTTTTTTATTTTCATTTGAAATATTGTTATCATCAGTTTTTCGTTTTAAATTGATATCATTCCTTTAATTAAATGACAAAAAATTTCATAAAAATAAATTATATAATGAGAGTAAATAATTTATTTATTTTAGAAAAATTACTCTAAATTTGATTTTTCAAAATCAATTAATTGTTCTTCCTTTATATCATTACTAGTATCTAGAGAAAGGTAATCATCAATAGTTTTAGAAGTTTTAACTTTATCTTTAATCTCTTCATTTTCATAATCTGACATAATTTCTTCCTTTATTTCTTTTTCTTCTTTAACATATTCTATATTTTCTTCTTTAGGAGCATGAATAGTCTCATATTTATTTTTTGGTATAGCCCAATCGACAACAATAGAACGGCCTAAAAGATATACATTATAGAGTCACAAGAAATAATATGAGTATTTCCAAATTGTTTAATAGATATCATATATAGTTTAAAGTCAAAATCATAGTTATTTCAATTAATTGTTATCTAACAAGAAAATTTAACAAAAGAATTACCACAAAAATCTTTTCCACTAGTATTTGCAATAGCTTTAGCAGCATTTTGTTTAACAACAAACTGTACAAATCCACAACCAATAAGTTTTCCATCGGATTTTCTTAATAGTTTAATATCATTTATTTCACCAAATTTTGAAAAATATTCTTGTATTTGTTCTTCATTTACCTGGACAACCAATTTTGTTTTTCAAAAATAAAGACTGGAGGAAAAGAGATATTAACACAGAAAATTCTTAATACTAAAATTTATAATTATAATAAAACTTTATATACTTAGGTATATAAAGTAAAAGGTATTTACTCACAGTAAATGGAAGATTACGAATAATTAATCTACCACGACGATTGTTGACTTTTTTACCATTTTGTATAAAAGGTACTTTTTTCTTCATTATAGAATCTAAAAAATTAAAATAAAACAGGGCTTAAAGTACACTAAATTAGTAACTACAAAAAATACCTAAAAAAGAACTATGATTTATTAATTACAAATATAGTTTAAACCTTTATTCAATAAATGTCAAATTATGTTTAAACATAAACAACGTGCTCCATGATTATCATTTGTTCTTATCAATATTATTATCAGTTATAAATATCATTATCACATTACACAGTTATTCTGTATTACTATTATATATATATATATATAGGTTCCGGAGATTGCAACGAACTGATGATGCCCCGACATTCATTTACTCCGACACTGTAAAAAAATCCTCCGAATACATTTACTCCGACAACAATTATTACGAATACCTGGTTACAAAAATTTGGATGTTACTGCGACGACGAATACTCCGAATAGTCCTATTAATTGATTGCTCCGAATGAAATTAGCTCCGAATATCGATTATTCACGAAATCGATTAAAAAATTATCAAATTTCGGAGTAGATGAATATCGTAGCAATATATTATCTGATGGAAAAATATAACCCTTATCACTAATTAATAAATATTAATTAATATAATAAAATAGCGTTATAATTGATTACTGTCTATTAACGAATAATTATTACAATAAAGATCCCCGAAATGTATCCGACTTTTGATAAAATAGGTACATAAAGGTAACATAACTGGTGTGAGCCCTTAAATTTTTTTTTGGAGGGGAAAGAAGAGCGATTCCAATTTTCAGACGTAAAATCTTTTTTACCTCTCCTTATTAGTGCTTATTATAACATTGTAAGCACATTAATATTATAACATTCAATTAGTTTAGTTAAAAAATATAGAGGTACGTTTTTATGATGATAGTATTCGTTATTAAACAGATGCGTTTATAAAGATATTCGGTATCCCATTCTCTAAAACTGTCATTACAATTAGTTTCATATGAAATCAAACAAAAATATGATTTAATATCNTTTATAAAGATATTCGGTATCCCATTCTCTAAAACTGTCATTACAATTAGTTTCATACGACATCAAACAAAAATATGATTTCATATCATTTCATTGTTCAAAGGTGGGTAACGAAATTAATTCAGTCCAGTTTGGATTTGACCGCAATCTGGAGAGACTTGAGGGGGCTTTGTCTCCTAAAATTCTGCCATAGACTATACCGAAAATGAATTAATTTGTATTTCTTGTTGTATAGAAATATTTTTTTAGATTAGGTAAAAAATTATGTAATTAGAGTTCCCAAATATTTTGTTGCAATACTCCTACGCTCTAGTCAAATTAAGTAAACACAAGGCAGTTATAAGTTAACAGTGGATAATAGTTTATGATTTATCATAAACTTACAAAAATCTTCTGCTAAGTAAATTGGTTTTAAACTTAACTAACTCGATTAAAAATATGCAGTCAATTCATTAAATAATGGTTCAGTTTTTTTTCATTTGCATTATGATTATTTGAAGTTTTGTCAAATATACGTATAGAGTTAAATATTTTAATTTATAATCATGATTGATAATCAAACAATTATTCATTTTTTCTCATTAAATGGAAATCAAATATAATAATGTAATATTGAAACTGTACAACTTTTTTTATAAGACATATATATATATATATAATTACATTTTTACAAAACATAATACATTACATTACGTGATTTTATTTTGAAAATTAATTTTTATTTTTTTTGGAATATGCTTTCATATTCTAAAAAGTACATATAAAATTAATTCAAATTTTTAAAAAAACTTCATTTTGTATTTATAAAACAATACATTTGTATTTGCAGGATACGCGTTAAGCTAACGAGATGAAAACATTGGCAAAATAATCATCTTTTNGTTAACGAGATAAAAACATTGGCAAAATAATCATCTTTTCGCAGTGTCGGTCTGGCTCAGAAGGCCCTCATTAAATTTAAGATTTAAATTTTTTCTCACTGGACCACTGAGAAAATTGTCCAACAAATTTAATTATTATTAAAAAAAGGAAAGGCTATTCAGATATTTTTTTCAAGGAAATATTAAACTGATTTCAATAAATGTATATTAGATTTTAAACAAAAAGAACTTTAAATAAATAATTTTTTACTCCTTAATATTTTTAACTTTTTTTTGAGCACCACTGGAGATTATAATGGTTTTACTTATAATTTAACATTGATTATAAAACTCATGTCACAAAATTAAATTTTTTTAACGATGAGTTAATATATTTTTAATTTTAGATGACACACAGAATTTTTAAATAAGAAAAAATTAATTCTACTTATATATAACCAAAACTTACTAATTCTTAGCATAACTCATATTAGACTTGTAGCAAAACTTACACAGTTTAATACTATTTTAATTTTTTTTAATATAAGTTAAAAATAATTTTAGTAATTAATTTTCAATTAAAATTGCTGAAAGAAAAATTAATCATACTCTTCTGAGTCTATAAAAACCTATTGGAAGAAACTTCCAGAAAGTAATAAGACTAAAAAAAATGTGTTCAACAATTACTACATTAAAGTTGGATATACTGTGTTATTTTATACTTAGATATCCTAATGCAGCACAGGAAAAAATCCAGACATCCCCAAGAATGATTTTATATTGTACAAACAATTTTATGTGTTATATTAGTTATTATTTTTTAATATTACACACTTAGGAATTAATCACTAATAAAATTGCACAAGACAATTTTTACAGCACATATTTGTTATAGAAAAATTAGTTTTCAAATGGATCTCTTAGATGTTAAAAAATAAGTTACTGTTAGATAAAATTTTGTGGATCGACTGAAAAAACAGTTAACTAACAGTTTTTTGATTTGATTAAAATATTTTGTAATTATTGGATAATTAAAAAATAAAATTCTCAAAGATAAATATATATTCTAACAATAGAGAAAACTTTTTCAAAAATGTACATTTGTATTAAACACTATTAATTTTATGTTACTTAATGAATGACTATTATCATTCGAGTATTAATAACATATGTCAAATGTGAGAAATTGTACCAGAAAATAATAAGCAAAATGTATATTATTGTATAATAACTATAGTAGCAAATAAATGCTAATTGAATAGGACATTTTAATTTAAATTTTACAATATTATTAATAATAATAATATTAATTTAATAATGTAGTGTTTCTGTAGCTACGTGATCCTGACGTTGCAACATATACGATCAATACGCCCTATTACTAACAATGCAATCGAAATATAATATAACTTTCGATACATAATCAAACTATCGATAATGTGGGAGTTTTTACTATCTCATTTTTTAAATTTAATGTCGGAGTAAAATCCGTCATAATTTTGGTAACCTATGAATCAGATGGTCGGAGTACCAGATGTTCGTAACAATTACTACTTTGTCAAATGTCGGAGCATCATCAGTTCGTGGCAAAGGTGGGATCCCATATATATATATATATATATGTTTTATTATTTATCTGTGGTTATTATAAGGAGGCGCATACGAATCGGGACAATTATTCGATAGGATCTGTGTTTTATGATAAAATATTTATCAGTACTGGAATATTGATTGGAATAGTATTTAATAGGAACGTGTTACGTAGTTCAACCAAACTATAATTATTAAATAAATAAAATAATTATAGCATAATTTAATTATTATTTTATTTTCCGTATGAATAAGTAATAATTTTATTTTTATTTCAATTATATATTTTAGGGTAATTTTGAAATATTACTTATTAATTTAACTTGAGCAATTTATATTAAAATTTTACGGGGCATATTTTTTACTAAGGATTTAATATAAAAAAAAAAGTTCTTACTTCCACATTTTGTTAATATTTAAATATATCTAAATACTGTACACAATACGGGATAGTTAATGAAAAAATAAGAAAATTACATGCTCTCCATAACGCAGTATTAGAATATTATAGATTTTCAGGCATTAATTTATAAATAATAACTTCATGTAATAACATTTTTTATTTTAAATTTAAATATTAAAATTTTACTTTTGCACAATAATTTTATAATACTCTTTTCGTTTATAATTTAAGCTGTTATGAGTCATAACAAAAAAAATGTTTAATTGGTCTTTGTATAAAATAATTTCTTCTTCTTATATTTCCTCACCATAATTTCAACTACTTGAGGTCGGCTACCCTTATCCTATACTTCCACTTGACACGATCACCCACATCATCTACACACACCAGTAGTCCTCATATTGCATTTAACAGCATCCTTCCATCTCTTTTGATCTTCTACCTCATTCTTTAAATTCATTTCTATAACTGTTCTTACAGCTTCCGATCCCATTCTCCTCATAACATGATCATCTAAGTCTATTTTCTCTCATCTTATCTATGATTGACCTATAATCCCTTTTTTATGTTCGTTCCTTATCCTATCTTCTATAGTCACTCCGATCATCCATCAAGCATTCGCATCTTTGTTACACTCATACTCTACTCTACTTTATTGTCAACTACCCAACACTCAGAACCATAATTAAAATAAATAATAAAATAAAATATTTATAAAATAATTTATGAAATGTTATTTTCAAATTATTTCTATTATTATTTGTACTATTATTTAATTTCAAATGCAAAAAATCTCACGACCAACACAGAAAATTTAATAGGAAAACTGATAAAAAACTATATTATTATTACTAAAAAAAGTTCAATGAAATGAATAAAACAATAGGACCGGATGAAGTACCTGTAGAAGTATGGAAAATATTAGACAGTGTTGGCATAAGGTGGTTAAAGGAAGGATCCTTTTAACCTATTAACTTCCTATTAGAAGAGAAATTGCCAATCAAATGGAAGAATAATATTGTGATGTTGGTATTTATAAAAAGCAGATATATAGGAGTATGAAATATATAAAGGAATAAAACTTATGAGTTATAGTTTGAAAATTTGGGAAAAGGTAATAGACAAAATAACAAGAGGAGAAACATCACTAATAAAGAACCAGTTTGGTCTTTTGTCTGGAAAGTCAACAACAGGGACAGTCTTTTGTGTAAGACAACTAATAGTGAAATCAGTTGGAATGTATGATTCAGAGTGTTGGGCGGTTGACAAAAAAATAGAGTAAAGAATGAGTGTAGCAGGGATGAGAATGCTTAGATTAAGTGACTATATAGGATAAAGAACATATGAAAGGGAGTATGTGTATAGTGTCAATCATAGATAAGATGAGAGAAAATAGACTTAGATTGTTTGGTCAAGTTATGAGGAAAGAGTAATCGGAAGCTTTAAGAACAGTTATGGAAATTATTGTTGAAGGAAGAGATAGTAGACCAAAAAAGAGATGAAGGGATGTTATTAAATGCAATTTTATATAGATTAAATATATAAATATAGGTCATAGATATAAATTATTCAATATTCCAAATATTCTCCAATGAATCCTACATTTTATATTATTTCTATTTTCCTTTTATTCTATATTACCCTTTTTTATGCTATTATTTTTATTTTTGGTTTATTACAGATGTGTGCGTAGATTATGTGAGACTATGTCAAGTGGAAGTTTAGGGTAAGGGTAACAGTCCCCAAGTAGTTTGGATGAAGGCGAAGAAAAGGAAGAAGTAAATTACTCAAAAAAATAGTTTTTTATGTCGTTTAATTAGACTTAAATAACTAAATTACGATACTGCCATATTAATTAAACACAGGCGCAGTACTGACATTCGTTATTTACACCAAAAATAATTTCAGAATTTTGTTGAGAATAGCAAATTAGCATAACATATGCTAATGTAAAACTTTTGACTTTTTTTTTACTCTCAATTAGCTTAAAATGAGTAAAAAAATTATTACAAAAAGTCTTTATAATTTTATTCCATGTATCCCTTAAATGAAATATCATTAGAATTATTACTGGTATAAATGATTTAATTCAAATTAATTTTATATGTAATATAAAAAAGAAAAAATCATAATAATTAGATTTATTTTTTATTATTAAAGTAATGTAAATTCAATACTTGTTGTATTAATAAATAATAAAATAGTTTAATTCTTAATAAATTGAGTAATTTGTAATTTAATTATTTAAAAATAGCAATTTATCCAATACTGATTCTTTAATTTTGACTGAACTATTATTTTTATACTAAAATTTTTTAATTATGTTCTAAATATGTATATATGCGAGTAAGGTAATACATTTTGATAAAATATATAAATAATCTCAAAGACAATACAAGTACTTTAATTTAATAATTAAAACTGGTGCACTACGTGAGACCTAATATGGCCGACTGGGATGGGTCGTTGGCGAACGATTCAAAATTAACGATCACTTTACTGAACGAATTGATTAAGATTCTTGAAAATATTATAACAAGCTGATTCATTTTTTCGTAACTTATACTAATGAATTTTAATTTAAGAAATTTTCGATTCGATCATGGATTTCAAATATTATTGAATTATCAGTCTGTTAAAAAAAAAAAATAACAAATTATATTTTTATGTATTTTGTGAAATTATTATGAACTAAATTGTTTCAGATGAGTTTCGCTTATTAATCATCGTACTTCATTATAATCGTAGATTATATATAATATATTTAGATTTTGTAAGTCTATGATTATAATACATAAATTAATTTTGAATCAGTAAATTTCTAATTTAAACAAATTTTAAACACATTGATCTATCATATAAATAATTTGAATCATGAATCATGTGTTGTTTTTAATAAAAACGGTTGATACTAATTATAACCACAAATTATCACCATATTTTTTATTTTGTTAAAAATCTACTAATTATTAATGGTTTTATTATTTTATTACTCAATGGAAATTGTATTTTATATAAATTATTATGTCTAGTGTCATTATTCTTCTCCCCTCATAATAAATATAAAAATAAAATTTATTTATTTATTAAAATTTTCATTAAAACTGTTTATTCCATTTTTCAATAATGAATAATCATTACAAATTCTCTCTAGAAAAATATTGTGCAATTTTGTTAAAACCCTCAATGAAAAATATACGGAGAAACATGTTGAATTCTTATTGTTTTTGAGAAAAGATAAAATTGCTACTTATATATTACAAAGAAATAATGTTAATCTTAAACAGGTTGTTACACCAAAATGTTTAAAATTTACCTTAGCTTAATGAGATATTTTAAACTATTTATTCATTTTTTTTAAACATATCTTTAACAGCCCTTGTAATAAATATAGGTATCTTATGATAGAAAACTTACCTCATTAAGTTTATTTTTAACTACGAATAAAAATATAATTAATTTAATGAAATATTTACTTTTTTATCGACATTTTTTTAAACAAAGACAAATTGTTTTTAATTAAATATAATTAGTTACATCATCAGAACATTTGAAATATTATTGACTAATTTATATAACAAAAAAAAGCTATAAATTAATGCCCTGGTAATTTGTCTAGTACTTCATGTCCAGATTTTTTATGGACATATCAATTTTAAAATGAAAATCTAAAATATTGGTTCTAATACATATTAATATGTAAAACGTATACCTAAATATACACTAACATATATATTAAATGATATTATTTTATTATATTTAATAAGATTATCTATTTTAACTATCAATGTAGAATTTTTGGAGGGTTTAGTAAAAGATTGCTGGTTAATGTAGTCATAAATTTTTTATGTTAGCATATTATTAAAATGTAATATCAAAAGATATTACTTATGTCTTTTTAAATTTTTGTAAATACTCACAATTTTCAATTGTCAGTTATGATTAAGTAATACGTATTGATGTTGTATTATATTGATAATACATATTATTATATTGTATTAATATAGTCAATACTGACGTTTAACGCTAAATAATTTTTACTATGTTGCAGTGTTTTAATAGTACATGTAAATTAAAAAAAAAATAAGTAATATAAGGAATAAAGCCCTGTAAACTAGTTTCAAATAATATATTTAATTATGCTAGTTTATAAAAATGTTCAGAAATAAAGGAAACAGTAATAATTGTCGATATTGTAATTAATATTTTAAAATAACAAAACCTTATTAATGTTAAATATTAAAGTATTAAATAATAGATTATCCAAGGATCCATGAATCTATCACAAATTAATATTTTTAATCACTCATTATATTCTGATCAGTTCGAAAATGAAGAGTCAGTGAACGAATCATTGTGGTGAAAGAATTCAATTGATTTAATTCACCCAAAAGATTTATAACTTCTATCCCTACGGCTACAGGAATTTTGAACGATGGGTGACACTATTAGATCGGGGACGAATAGTAGGTTTAGATTTGCTTGCACGACTTTAAACAAACGTTTTTTTATCTAATAACATTGTTAACAGAGTGGATGATTCACCTTGATACCACGTTGGGTATATTGACAAACGGAAAATTATGATAACAAAAAGAGCTATAAACTTTGTATAAACAAAAGATCCGATTGATTAGAATCTACATGTAGTTTTAAATGTTTCAAAAGGATATTTGTTTATTTAAAAATGTAACAGTAGTAGACTAAATATTAAAAATATCTATATATTTCAAAAGCTACAATAATGTTTTATTATTTAATATTGTATCGTTTTATTTTTGGTGACTTCGATGTTAATTTTGTGAGTTGTGTATAATGTAAACACGTTCATAAAAAGTAAAAAAATTAAATGTTTTATTTATTTATTAGATTATTTGGTCTTATCTATCAAGATCGCAAAAGTTATTTGTAAAATAAAAACTTTTTCCCAAGATTTTGTAGAACATAAAATTTAGTCTAAGAAATATGGTGCAAGAAAAAGTATTATATGCATTCCGAGGATGGTTAGCATTTGTAGCTTTCATGGACCTTGGTGTTACATTTAGATCATTTTTTGAAAACAAATGTATTTTGGGTACTCATTCAAATTTGATGGCAGATGAACATTTTATACATGGTATATTTTTATATTGAAAAAACTAAATTACTTTTATAAAAAGTGTATCGGATCATTTTATGCTAATCTGTATTAAACTAGATCTTTTTTAACATAGGTTATGGCCTATAGATAATGTATGTCTACTAAGTTCAGTTGTAAAAATATTCATGTATTAATATATATGTTTTGTTGGTACAATATATAAACTTATAAGATTTCCATTAATATTGAAAAATGTTGTTTGATCAAATATTGATTATATATTAAGTTTTTAATTTTCAATCCACAGAAGAATCAACCTTACCACGAGTTTTGGGAATGTTTGCTCTTCTCAAAGCCATTTGCTTGATTCATTGTTCCATATTCATTCATTACAAACCGTAAGTTTTTATTTTATTAACTCAAAAATTGAAATCAATTAATATTATACCTATATAATAAATTATAATAGAAATGGGTTTGTTCTGTTCTCATAGTTTCTAATTAAAATTTTTTTCAAAATTTAAAATTAGCTAGTTTTTATTATTTTTTTTTACAAAAAACATTAATGGGTGATAACAATTTAAGGAAAAATAGTTATTGAGTTACAAGCATTTTAATACATATAGTGGGTATGTAGCACAGGTGGAGTATGAATTATAAAAATATATTAACATGAGCTTTACTAAACCTAAAGACTATGAATATAATACTTGTAACTCAAAAATTGAGAATCTATAAAAAATAGCTAGTTTAAAATTTATATGTACAGGTCGATTCTCTTATTATGAACCATTTAATTAATTGAAAAAGAAAAATTATTTTTTTATTTGTTTCCTTAATTGAATGTTTCTTTCATGTATACCTTATAAGGGTGCCAATTTTAATTTTTCGAATGATAACACACATAATTAACTAGCTTATTTAATAGATATATAATTAAGAAATTGACTGATCAATAACAACTTTTGAACCAATATTTCAGATTTTATTGATATCTAGGCGAAAGGAAGAGTATGTTTAGTAAATGTCTAGTTATAAAAATAGCATCACCCACTTTTCACCTCCAGTCATTTCTTTACATTGTTAATAACTTCCAAAATACTGGTCCAAAAGTTGTTATAGAACAGTCATTTTCTTAATTAGATCATAATATAATAAATAATCTAGGAAATTATGTATGTTTCTATTTGAAAAAATAAAGTTGACACCTTTATAAAGTATAAGGGATGAACATAAAAACAAATTTTATGTTTGAAAATTTGAGAAAAACTGGGAACTAAAAAAAAAATTATTAATATTATTTGTACTATTCGATTAATTAAGTGATTTAAGATAGTGATTTACTCTATATATATATATACTTTATATATTGAACTTTATACAATTTTATTATTATTAAATTAATTATTTTTATATGGGTAAAATTAATAAATAATAACTATAGTCAAATAATAAGATTACTTTACTCAATTTCTGCATTACCTGCTTTTGGACACAATTTTGATTTTATGTGAAATACATTTTTTTATAGTACATATGTCATCATAAATGAGACTCAATTTGAATGCTTTAATCTTTTTTTTTTTTCAGAATTGTTAGTATTGGTGCTTTGTCTATAATAATTTTTATAACCATGTATTTAAGTGAAGCAATGGTTTATCGTTCTACTACAATGAATTATTTCATTATATTTCCTACTGTATTGAATAGCTTAACATTAGGAGGATTAGTCATAATTGCTCAAAAAATTAACAAACCAATGGAATGCATAGAAGAAAATGTAGAATTGCTCATGACAAAATATAAATATAGAAAAAAAAAAATATAGTTATAAAAAATGAAATTCTGAAAAACAGTTTTTATTGATGTCATTTTTTTGACATTTCATTGTATTATTTGATTGATTTTGATGGATATAAATAATATGGTAATATGTTATTTATTGATTCATATTTATTAATAAGTAAATTAATTTAAATTAATAAAAATTTATTTAAAAAAATAGTAAATTACACAAACACAAAAATTTACATTATTTGTATTATATATCAGACCTTATCCATTATTATTCATAATTACTTTAGGCTGGCTTTTTATGGCTATTAGCAGCTTTATTTTGAGCTATCACAAATTCAGGATAATCAATAAACCCATCAAAATTAGTATCATCCATAGTTAAAATTGGATCAATAAGTTGCATTAGTTCTTCATCTAAAAAAACTTTGTCATCAGGTGGTGGTGCATTACCTCTTGCGGCATCATTTCCACCTTGAACTAAAAATAACATGATCTTATACACTTAAATAAATTAATATTTAAGATTATTCATATTACATGAAAGTATTAATGATATAAGCTAGAGATTAGATTATCACATGTACCTTTGGTTAGAAAATTGCGACCTTGTACAAAATAAAATAAAATTTTTCGATAATCAAAAAAGCTTTAACCCTTCAATACACTTTTAAATATATAGAATGTTCAGAAAGTAAGGAAACAGGTTTCTTGTTCTCATTGTTTGTAACAATTGACCTGTTTTTTTGCTAACTGAACAACCTCCATAGTATGTACTAGGCATTTATTTAGATATTTTTTTTTTTAAAAAAGTTAAATATTATAACTTTGAATAAAATTTTCTATTAATTTTTATACAAAATACTAAAATTTATATTGAACTTGTATAAAAAATAATGAAAATCAATATTACTAAGAAATGTGTGGCTACTTTCCACAAACTGGTAAGACAATTTACCAATTTTACAGGAGAGTAAATTAACCTGTTGATTTTAATACTGATTCATGAATAACAACTGTTATGTAATGCATAATGAAACCCTTAAAAATGTTGTGTAATACTCTAGATGACAGAAAATAAAATAATTTTAGAATCAATTTTTTGTGACATAAAATTATTGTTAATAGCTACAGAAATTTATCTCAGACTTTTTATTTCAGCATCAGGTAAAATATGTATTATGATATAAATGAGTTATATCACTTGGCTTTTTTTTACTTGTAGGAAAATATATTATAAAATGAAAACAAATTTAAACTTATTATGTTTAGTGTATTAGTTCAAAAAGTAATTCAATAACATTAAATCTGATTTGTTATTTTTAACACATAGTATACTTTTTGGTAATCATTATTTTTATTATATATTTAATGTCAACATAATTACAATTCCTTATTGTCATAAGGATATTACTAAAAAAATCACTCGCTCCTTTCAACATCGCCACAAAATATTTTATTTTTTAGGAGAGTGATTTCAAAAATTAAAAATGTGTTGAAGTATTTTAAAATAAATATTCATTCTAGTGTTATAGTATTAAGTTAAAGAAATAATGATTTTGTAGGTATATTCTACATTTTAGGTCATTGTGATAAGGAGCATAATTTAACAAGTTTATATTTTGAAATCTAACATTGTTGAGGTATTAAATGTGTTTAGCTAAAGTAAAAACTATTTCTCATTAAAATTAAATAAAATAATACCATGCCAATGAATGAGAGACTTAATCAATTCACAACCATCCAGTTTGTTGTTGTTATCTGCATCATGCATTTTGAAATAATGAAATTGTAATTCTTGCTCTGACATTTTACTTGTATCTAATGTTGGTAAATCTAAATGTTTTTTTATATGTCTAAAAATTACAAAAATAAAATAATATTAAGTAATAATCATTTAATATTTATTTGTTTTGTCAAACAAATGAAAAATACAATTCAAATGATAAAAAAAAAATTAACTTACTCGCTTTCTTCGGCCATATTAGATGAATGCAAAACTTGTTGTTGATGGTGAGGTTGATGATGTTCATATCCTTGACCTTGATTAACATGGCTCTAATATGATAATATTAACAAAAAAATTACTATAAATAATAGAAATAAGATATTTTAATAATTATTCTACAATAGATGATTACTGATTGCTGAGATTGAAGAGGTTGTTGATGTTGTAAATTTTGCTGGTGAGGAATATTTTGGTTTGGAGGTAGGTGTTGAATTGGTACCTATAAAGAGATTTAATTTTATTTAAATTTCAAAAGCTGTTCAGATAAACAATATGTAGTTACTTGTTGTTGTTGTTGTTGATACAGTTGGGGATTAACACCTGGTGGAGCATACTGTCCAAATGAAATATGGGACAAATAAAGAATTACAAAAGTAAATTTACACATAATCAAAGAAAACATAATAAGATTTAAAAATAGTATAACTTAAATATAGTTATAAAAATGTAAATTATAGTAACATAAGTAAATGTTTACAATTTAAAAAAATTATTAATATTTGAAGGTAATTAAATTTGTATTTAATTAACACTACGGAATAGTATATTTCGTCATGTTTAAATTCCTCTAAACATTTAATTTAAAATTAAGTATGTGGCTCAATTATTTTGATAAATACCGCCACTTGCCGAAACAAGTAAAACTAATATCGTGGTGACGTGGTAAAACTATTAACAAAATTGTGGTGAACAGCTGATTGCAATGATAGCTTCTATCGATTATTAGAAATTACACATAGATCTATGGGAATAAAACAGTTGAGTCTATAATGAAGTATCTTTGTGAAATCTGTGTTAGCCCAAAAAATATTTTCGTAAACGACTAATCAACTCAGGGAGCGTAGTGATTCAGACTTTCTTTCAATAAAAAAACATCCTCACCATTAAAAAAAATTTACCAAACTTTTTAAATCATCGAAATGTTTTACAACAGTGATGATGTTAATACGGGTGTATATCAGGCCATCTTTATGCCCGATCGTGATTATACTGAAAATTATTTCAGCGTCAGTTATTATTTTTAGGATTTTAGATAATTTTTAACAGACATAAACTAACTAAGTAGCTGTAAGCATAGTATACCAATTATACATAGTGTTAAATATAGTCACATAGAAACACTTTCAAAATATCAACCATACATTTTGTTTGAATATTTGGAAATGAACTAATAATATTTTATTTTAAAGTATCTTTAAAATAAGATCATTTTGCATTGTTATCAAAATAACTTTATTTCAATATCAATATTGCAATAATACTTTTATAATTAATAAAAAATATATAAATCTTTTGAAAATATATAAAGTAATAATAAATATCAAAGAAATGTGTATAATTTAATTACAATCTTTGCATAATATAAAAACACAGTTTTAGTTGGTTACTTCCATCAAATGTTGTTGAAAAGTTTGTCTTGCATAATGTCTATAAAAATAAAAAAAAATATTTAATTAATATGATTTCAAAATTATTTTTAATTTTCTTTATTTTTTCTTCAAACATTTAAATAGTAGAATTCATTTTGTGATTATTTTTAAGAAGATTACAAATTATCTTTGGTTTTCATAGAAATGAGTTTATTGCATTACTTATTTTTAACCCTTATCAAAACAGATAACTGAATAAATGATTAAAAGTTATCATTTTATAACGAATACGCATAATACTATAAATAATAAACTTAAACGCTATAAAAAATTTAACTAATTAAAAAAAAAAAAAAGGTAGTACATTAGCATTGTGGCAATTATGGAATTTCCATAATAAAGTATATCACATAAGCTTTAATTTAATATATATATATGAAAGTGTCAGTACTTCCAGAGTACTTTCAAAACTTAATTTTTTGTAAAATCCCCCTCTTTGAGCAGGTAGAGGGTCAGATTTATAAAAAAAGTATACAAAAAGATAGGTAAATACCTCATGAATCTATAAAAAAATTAATTATATTGATCCATACATTTTTCAAAAAGTTATGGTAGTTTTAAGTAAAAAAAATTCGCAATTTTTAAATTTGTAATTTTTTTTGGAGATTTCCCCATTTGTACGGAACGAGGAAATTTTTTTTAATTTTTGAGGGTCATGTCTTCGACTAGATACAATTTGTGATTTTTTTATATCGTTGAAAAATATTGGTTTAGTGAGAGCTGAGAAAATGTGGTAACAGTCACAAAAAAATAAAATATTAATAATAATAATAAAAAATAAAAACACATCATAGTAAAATTAATACCTATCAGCTTCGAATTAAAGCTAAAAATGTAACAAAAGGGAAAAATAGTGATTAGTTGAGATCAGGCATTTATTTAGTAAAGTTATTGTAGGAGAGAAGTGAAGAAATTTTGTAATAAAATTGTTTTATTTTTGCTTAACATTTTTCTAAAAGTAACATTAAGAATAAACAATTAGGTTATCATATAAATTTTGTCAGAAGAAGGCTAATACCCATAAAGCTACCTATAAATATTCCTCTGTTGAGATACATTTCAATAAATAGAAGACAGTAAAAGAAGAAACTATGATAATTAATTCAGTGTAATTTTACCTAATTGTTAATAAACTATGTTTTATCGAATAAGCAAAACACATTATAAGTTCATTTGAAATAATTGCATATAAATGATACTTTTTAGTAACACTTGATACTTCATTTGCAACTATTTTGTCTAAAAAAGTTAATTTTTTGATAAGTATAATTGTAATCAAATAACATTAATATTTAATATTACCTTTTATAAATTTTGATACTATTGTTTCATAAAAGTGTTGAAGTATATTTTGTACATCAGTAGTTGTACTATAGTAATTTTGTATAAATTGTGTCATTTGTGGATTAATAATAATGTAACTATAGAAAAAAATAAAATAAAAATCTATGTTACTAATTTTAATGAACTACTATATTACCCAGAAGTTAATTCTGCTTTTGAATAGTTTGGTCTAAAATGACTTATGACTGATCTAAAAGATTTAGCTGCACTTATTTCAATATTGTCTAAACTAGGATTTGGCCCACAAATAGCTGCTATCCATACACCTTGAACAATCATACAACATACAAGCCGCAACAGAGACTAAAAATTAATCAGTTTAACTATTAAATTCAGTAAAGTTAGGATATTATCTGAGGAGACAATTGTTGATTGGAATCTTAGGTAGGCATTCAATGACAATTTAAAGAGGTTAAAAACTTAATTTAAAAAATCTTTTAAAAATTTTTAATTATGTATTTTTTCAAATAAATTATAGAGAAATTAACTACTTTCACTAATAATTAAAGTCACTATCATACAAAGTTTTAATTTGTATAAAGAAAGTTTGACTTTGTTCTCACTTTCTAAGCTATTTATATTTTAAAATGAATTAAATAAAAATCGAGAAAGAAATGTCAAACAAAAATGTTTAAGTTTTTTTTTTATGGGAGGTTGTTTACACAAAATAATATATTAAATTTTGAATCATTTTTATAAATACTTGAACAGTTTTTTTTTTTTAGATTTTTTATATAATTGTAATGTGGAATTATTAACTTTTGATGCACTGTTTAGTAGAACTAATTCAGTAAGAGCTGAGCATTTTAAGAGACTGACATGAAAAAATAAAAGAGAATAATAACAAATAAATATGTTATGGTAGTATTAATAACTTTTGAATTTTGTATCGAAGCTATATGAATTTGTTTTAACATACTAGACACTTTATTTTGATAGAAGTAGATACTAGATTAACTAGTTCCACCAGGACATTGTTTTTGAGATAATAGAAATTTTGTAACAAATGTACATTAAAGGATTTATAATTACTAATGAATATTTTTTTAACTAAAATATATGTGAATAAATATTAAGTATTAAAAATTTTAAATAACCACTTTTTGTTTTTTAAGGAGAAGCAAGACTTCAAATATATTTTATCAAAACGCAGATAAAAGAAAATGTTAGTTAATTGAGTTTCTACTGTACATAAATATTAACAATAAAATACATATTGTTTACTTTCTGATATAAACGCGGTAAAAATATGGGAATATCTGCAGATGTGTTTAATTCATAACAATTACTCAATATGATAAGAGACAAAAGTTTTCTTTCAGTTATATGTAAATTCCACCAATCATTTGTGGCAGCACAAATTTTTTTGTCAACAATAATCCAACATAGATCACTACAAATTATTTCTGACCAATTGTACAAACAATTCTGAAAAGGACCAAATATATTTGATTAAATTAAAATATACCTTTGAAATTATATAGTGTCCTTAATTATCAAAAACTTACATGTATTACTTTATTTTCCTTCAAAGATTGTACTTCAAGATGGCTCAATAAACTTTTATCAATTGATTTTGATTTTAATATACTTAATAAATAATCAATCACAGGAATACATGGCTGTAATGAATAATAAAAAAGGAATTACTACCATCACAATATTAATTTGCTTAGCTTTATTTGCAATTTGTTTTCATTTATACCAACAATTCACTAGTTATTAAAAAAAATCTTTTTGAAAGACCAAAAATCTATCTTTAACAAATTTTAGAAATAACCTCAACCAAAAAACACAGATAATTTTTTACAATTGCAGATTTTATACTTTATTGATTAACTCAATGATCAATTGAAAAACAAAGCTAAAAAAAAAAAAATTATTGCAAATATATATTGCATTGCATCTGGGCACTCATAATAAAAGTAATATATATGTAGTATACAGTTGTTGATTCTGAAAAACCTATTATGTAAAAAAAATCAAGTATGCATCATTAAGTAGCATATTTGTTTTTGAATTAAGGTATATCACAAATTTTAATATGAATATTTTACACATAGAAGGTTTTTCACGCCAAGTAATAATTGTATACCTTTATTTCTCGTTTTAATCTATCATTATTCTTGATGCTAAGATTTTCTTCACCAACCATAATTTTTATTAAATTTGATATAAGTTCTAAACATGAAGTCACAATTGAATCATTCAAATTACTAATACCAGCAATGATCAATCTGAACAAAAGATAATTATTTACTTTAGTCATTGAAACAAAATTATTTAATAAATTTGTAACTTTAAGTTTTTGTAAATTAAATGTCAAAGTTCATGTTTTATTCTTTTAATTTTTATTGAAAAGAAAAAACACAGATCATTAATATATGATATATTTAAATCATTTTTGACCTTCTAAGGCTTATGAAATTTATATCTTAAATTTTTTTTAGAAGTACTCAGTTAAATAATAAAGGGACCTACAATTTTTTACACAGAAGATTATTTGACTATAACGGTTACAAGTTATAAAATATAACTTCTTCTTCTTTTTTCTAACCTTTATCTTAAATTTTTGGGGTTCACCAAATTGATATAAAATATATAATGTTCTTATATTTAAAATACTCCCTAAGCGCAAATAATTCTTATCATGAGTCTCCTAAGGCCTACTGGTAATCTTTTTTTTTTTTATGATACATTAATAGCTAAACTGGATATTGATAGACTTGTGTTAATTGCAGTTGCTTCATAAATAAATACTTTTATTATTTTATCAGAGATAAAAACATTTTCGTTATAAATAAAAAGTATTTACATATACAACTACACTTAATTTTTTAATTATTTTTAATCTATAAAAAAAATCACCTGTTGTCAATATTATGCCAAATAAAAACATGTTTGTCAGTGTGAATGTTTTGAAATAACACATTTTGTACTTCAGCAAATGTTACAATTGCATTCAAAGTAGACAGTGTAGAAAATGGAATCTGAATAATTTATAAACAGTAAAAAAATAATGTAATAATTTTTGCTAAAAATAATTATTTGATTAAATAATTTCTAAGATGAAGTAGTAAAAGTTTATTAGAGAAAGTAAAATATCAACTAAAATAAAAAAACGAACAGGATCACTTGAACTTTTTTTTCTGTAAAATATAGGAATTCCACCATTTACTGTAGTACATACAACGTCCAACATATTGAAGATAAATTAATTTGATTTTTTATACATCTACGAAGAATATAATTTAACTGAACCAAAATTTTACACCAAATTAATAAGTCCACAAAATTGAAATATTATATGTTTTTCTATCTAAAAGTGATGCAAGATTATATCTAGTATTATTTTCAGGTATTTAAATCATCAATCCAGTATTTATATAAGATCATAATTCAAAATTTAGTATTTATATGGTGTAAGTGAAATTTTAATAAGATAAATTTTAATTTTAAATTAATTTATTTTGAAGTTCATTGAAAACCATATTATTATTTTTTATTATTGTGATTAAAAATTATAATCTGTTATCGTTTGTTCAGTAGTACCAATTAAGATAGATTTATCCATAGTAAAATGAATATTCATATTACTATGGATTTATCCACCTTGATACCAATACTGATTAATCATAAATAAGGACGTATACACAAATTACAATTCATATTTTCATAAGTATGGTTATTAATGAAATAGTAAATATTTTAAGTAATATTAAAAATTCATACTATTCAATTATTATTATTATATGTAAAAAGATTAGTACTGATTGATATCTAACAGGTATAAAACCATTGTCTTATAACGTTTTTTTATGCATATTTAAAACATAAAAAAAATTAACATTCTACTAAAAATAACATGTCTTGATTTTAGAATTTAATTAGAACTTTAATAATCTTAGATTACTTATAGAAGATTAATCACCAGAACGTTTTTTTAGTTATATACTACATCATACAAACTTTAATTTGAAATAATTTAAAATGATATAAGCATTCTGATACTATACAAAATAGACTAATTGTTCCTTGACTTTGTTAATGAATGAATTTAAGAGAAATTATTTTATAAGGAAAATGTCTGAAGTGCTTACACACGCATTCAAGCTAAAAAAACCTTTGTTTTTTTACATAGGCATAACATGTATTGATGCATACAATAAAATAGTTTAACTACCTGTTATACTCAATAGTTTATCAAAAACTATTGAAGTTATTGTATTTTAGATATTTTATACAGAAATCTAATATATTACTATAGTTTTTTATAAACTATATAATTGATGTCATTATCCACGCGATGATAGTTTTAGATTATCGATTACCAAAAAAAACAACCAAGTTTAAAAATATTCAGTCATATTTAGTCTCTTAAACCTTAATTGGAGAAACGAATATTAATTTGTATATTATGTGTTGTTTGATGATCAAATAACTCAAGCCAGACTGACAATGTTAATTTGGTTGTGTTTGAAATTGAAATTCTGTGGGTCTACTTGACAATGGATCTAGATGTTTGATTACCACTATGGTTACAGTATTTTCAACTTCTAAGATACCTATACAAATTGTGTGGTTACCAAATAGATGTTTCATCAACATCACATAACCTACAATTTTTTTTACAAAGTTTAAGGAAACCATTCTCTCGTGTCTATTCCTTTTGGTAAGATTATTATAACGTTTATATATATCTTTTTATTATAACTAATTATATTTTACTTTTATTTTTAAATTAAACAGATAAGTTATTTGTTTTTAGTGTTTGTAAGGTGAGACTATTCAATCATGTCTTCTAAAGTTTCAAAGGAAACTTTGTATGAGTGTGTCAATGAAGTCTTAAACCATGCAAAAACTCATAAACGTAATTTCCTCCAAACTGTTGAACTACAAATTGGTTTGAAAAACTATGACCCACAGAAGGACAAGCGTTTTTCTGGTACAATCAAGCTTAAACATATTCCTAGACCTAAGATGAAGGTGTGTGTTCTGGGTGATCAACAACATTGTGACGAAGCTGAGGTGATTTTTGTAATTTTCAATATTAATTTTAAATTTATACATTTGTCCACTCTAAATATTGTAGGCCAATAAAGTTCCATTCATGGATGTTGAAGCTTTAAAAAAACTTAACAAGAATAAGAAGTTGGTTAAAAAACTTGCTAAGCGTTACGATGCGTTTTTAGCCAGTGAAGCTCTTATAAAACAAATTCCTCGTTTATTAGGACCTGGGTTAAACAAAGCAGGTAAATTTCCTGGTCTGTTGTCTCATCAAGAATCCATGAATATGAAAATTGATGAAGTTAAAGCTACAATCAAATTTCAAATGAAAAAGGTTTGCATTTGGAATTATATTAGTTTATTTGATAGTACTTATATTAAAATAAACAATTGTTACTAGGTGTTATGTTTATGTGTTGCTGTTGGTCATGTTGATATGAAATCAGAAGAGTTAGCTCAGAATGTCCATCTTTCAATAAACTTTTTAGTTTCATTGTTGAAGAAGCATTGGCAAAATGTTAGATCATTGCATATTAAGTCAACCATGGGTCCTCCTCAACGTTTGTACTAATGTGTATTACAATTTTTAATATTTTAAATAAAGACCACATTATTATTAATGTAAAACGGTGTTATTTTTATTATTGAAAAATCTTATATATAAATAATATTTTTCAATTTATTAAAAGTTAAGTGAAATAGTATTTCAGTTTTGAAGATGTCATATTCTAAGTTTCAAAACCTTATGTATTTGTGCTTATAAGGTATTAATATCAGGAATACTGTTAATTTTATATGGTGGTTTATTTTTAATTTAGTTTTAAAAGTATGAATATATTTTAATAAATTATAGTGAAACTTGTATTGGATTTCACGTAAAAATTTAGTAATATGATAGTTTTCTTTTTTTGCTTGTAAATCATTTTTATAAAGTATTAGTACAGATTTTTCAATGAGATATAGATCTACTCTATTATAAACATAATTGACGTATATTTTATATAATATATTAAAAATATAATTATTTTATGCAACACTTATTTGTCACATTTTAGAAAAAAAATATGGTCTAAAGAGTAAAATATTTTACATAATTCTAATTAGATTTAAAGTCAGACTTTTTCAATTTCTAGAAACTTTAAAGATTTAATTTGAATTTTTACTTTTGAAATTTATACACACTAAATTTTACCTTAATATTAATGTCATTATAAAAGTTACTTAATTTTATTAAAAAAAACTCTCTAAGCCATCAATATATATTTAAAACTAGATTCTTTATGTTATCAGACTTATGAACTGTGTATCCCTTATAATAATAAGCTTGGATGAAATCATAATATAATTCATTGTTATGATTTTAAAGAATTATTATTGGTATATTAATATTATATGCATATCTTTTATTTTTAATAAAATTTTGTATTACATCATGTAAATAATTTAATACCTTTAGGATAGTTATCATTGTCAGTACACAAATTTGTTTCAACAATATTATTGTAAAATGTTCAACACAAATAGAGGGGAAAATATGATGCATATTTATACACATTTGCAATAACAACTAAGATGAATCTTTAAGGATATTATAAATTATTAAGTGAATATTAGTATGATAAATGATGATTTACAGAATTCAAACAATCTATTGAGATTTTTCCAATCAAATATGTTTCATAATTATATACTTATTATAACTGAGTAGGTACACAAGAAAATACAAATAAAAATTACAATAGAAAATAGTTATACTTAACAGGACTTTGTACACAAAAATAATTTAAAGGGAAAATATTAATTACAAACAATTCAATATATTTCTTTAATTCAATATTCATAAAAATACACAATTTAATTATTGATCCCATTTTTTCCATTCCATACCTTCTGGAGGTTTAATGTCAACTTTATCTTTAGCTACATCCTTCCAATTTGTACTTAAAACTGTACCACCAGATTCTAAAAAGGATTTGTTCATTGCTTTACGTACTTCATCACTACCTTCAGAGTATATTTTTTTAAATAAGCTATTTACATCATTGTCATCATCATCTTTAGTCATTTCATTAACCACTTTATCCCAGTTGCGTTCTTGATTGCTACTAGTACTAGGGTTTTGTATAGCAACACATTCTAATGATTCCCATCTGCCAGCTTCAGCTTTAGCAAGTACTACTTCTAATTTGGAAGAAAGTACCTTATAATTACAATTATCTGGTATAATTTGTTTAAATAGATGTATATTCAAAGTGTATTGTTGACCAGTTGCATATTTAGCTTGAATGATTATATTATTTGAGCTAAATTTTATAGTACAATCTTCTTTACAAGAATGCTTGCCTAAAATAGTAACATATACATGAGTTTCTGACTGGTACCAATCTTTTTTAATTGGAGCTTGATTTTCTTCACTTTTGTTAGCCATAATGTAATCTATAAAAATTAAATTTAAAATTAATCTCAAGTTTCCCTATATTCATAAAGCACAGTAATACATAAGAAAAATAATTTAAAATTAAAATCTAAATTAACTATCTTTCTCGGTAGGCTTTTTTTTTTTTTTACAAATTTGAAGTATACATTTACAGGAATTAATTAATTTCAAACACACACTTATATTTTTAACAATGTATTTATTAGATATTGTTTGTCTCAAGATAGTTTTTTTTTGAGTAAATAGTACTTCTTAAAGTAAATACACACATTTATTGAATGTCAATCAACTGATTTATAACTTGAAATTAAAAGTATCAACACAAACGAAATGTTCTAGAACTTTCATATGCCGTATTATGCATCACAAAAGTAAATACTGTTATCGAGATATCTATCGAATTTATTATAGTAGCACAGACATAGATAATAAACTATATTGTTAGCTCTTCTATATGCTTAATGTCATTAAGTGAAGCCATTTTGCAGCCATTTTCTTTTAGGCAAAACATTATCAGTCCCTATATTTCATGTATAATTTTTTGTTATCAAATCAAAAGGTTGTTGATAACAATATTTATCTATTTGATAGGAAAAAATTTATACACGAAGTATAGGAACTGATAATGTTTGACCTAAAAGAAAATGGCGTCAGTTGTTATCAAGAGTTAGCAATTTATATTATCATTTACACCAGTGGATAGTATAGAGATTGAATTTACTAGGATTTTTTATCTGATAAATTGTTCATTAAAATTAAAATTTTTTATAGTATAAAGAAACTATTCCTAAAATTTATGATATTTTTTATTTCAAATTATAGTACAAATTTTTAAAAAACATTTTTAGACCGAAATTTAATGATCTAATTGCATCGTTTTAATATCATTTAACACTTGTTTTCATGAAATGTAATGTGGTATACAAATATTTAACCATGTTTATCATGCATTCAAAAAATGATAACTCAGAGTTGTAAGCTGAATTTAAGTGTTATATTTTGCCATATAAGTAAAATCAAGTTTTATTTTATTTCTTAAATTTTACTTAAACATTAAGAAACACTTCCTAAAAAATCTGTTTTAAAGTATGTTATATTTTAAAACTGTCGTCATAAATATTTTTTATCATTCAACTTAAAGAATTAAATAAGTTCAAGGTAATTTTTGTAGAATTTGATAATTTGCTTGTTTTGATTAAGATAAATTAGAAGTTGAGATATTGAATTTGTAAAATTAAATAATTTTATTAATTCTTTTTAGAAGCATGGCAGAACATGAAAACGTTCCAGAACTTGACGATGCAGAATTACCAAAGGTTATGAGTAGTCCTCCAACTATGTCTATTAAAATAACAAGTAATAAATTACAAAAATCATTTGATAAATTAGAAGATGTTACTTATGATTCAGATGAATGTCAGATTATTTTACCTAAATCTGATGTAATTGATATTAGTGATGATAATATGGACAAAGATGATGTAAAAGAAAATAAATCTATTCAGGACAATGAATCTATTGAAATACAACCAATTGAAATATTAAAAGATAAACAACCTGAAACTGAAGTAATATCTGAAGATGAAATGCTTGTAGATAGCATGCCTAAAGATACTGAAGCTGTATCAGAAGATGAACTACCTTTAACAACATTATCTGATCAAACTGAAACAGTATCTGATGAAGAATTACCTAATGAAAGTGGTGTTAAAGGAACAAAAAGATCTAAAATGTTAGAAGATTCAGAAAGACATAAAAACAAAGAGGTTGAATTAGAATCACAGATAAGTAAAAAAGCTAAAATTGAAGAACCTAAACCTATTACTGAGCTAGATAAGTTTTGGCAGGCTGTTAAAATTGATCCTTCAGATTTTGTTGGTTGGACATATTTATTGCAGTATGTTGATCAAGAAAACAATATTGATAATGCTAGAGAAGCATATAGAAAATTTCTTGCTCTTTATCCTTATTGTTATGGATATTGGAGAAAATATGCTGATTTTGAAAAAAGAAATAATGATAAAGAAGAATGTGAAAGAGTATTTGAACATGGACTTAGTTCTATTCCATTAAGTGTAGATCTATGGATTCATTTTACCACATATTTAAAAACCAATCATGCTGAAGATATTGAACGAATTCGTAGTACATTTGAAAAAGGTTTGAAAATTTGTGGTCTTGAATACAGGTCTGACCGTTTGTGGGATCATTATATAAAGTGGGAAATTGATCAAAATATGCTACAAAATGCATTTAGTATATATAATCGTTTACTTAGTACTCAAACTTTAGGCTATCTGCAACATTTTGAAAATTTTAAAGAGTTTGTAAATAAAAATTCCTCTGATAAACTTTTAAGTACTAAAGAGTTACTTGAGTTACGTCAACAAATATCTGAAGGATTAAGAATGACTAGTAATGGAGAACTGTTAACTGATGACTCTGCTCCACCTGGAGAAGAAGAAAATATACTTTCATCTAATATAACTGATAAAGAAGAACTCTTGATAAAAGAAAAAATTATAGCATCAAGATTAAAAATTCATAAAGAAATTAGTCAAGAAGTAGCCAAACGACAAACATTTGAAGAAGGCATTAAAAGGCCCTATTTTCATGTTAAACCTTTAGAAAAATGTCAAATTGACAACTGGAAAAATTATATTGATTTTGAAAAACAATCAGGCGATCATGAACGAATAGTTATACTTTATGAAAGATGTCTAATAGCTTGTGCTCTATATGAAGAATTTTGGTTAAGTTATTTAGATTATTTAGAGTCATTGGAATATGACGTAAGTCATTTAATGGATGATTTGTATAAAAGAGCTTGTTTAGTTCATCATTGTAAGGCAATTAAACTACATTTAAAATGGGCAGCTTATGAAGAAACAAAGGGAAATGCAGATAAAGCTGCTGAAATTTTAGATAATTTGGATAAAGCTGTACCTCATATGTTACAAATAATTTATCGACGAATAAATTTGGAAAAAAGAAGAGGAAATTATGATAAAGTATGTGATTTATATTCTCATTACATCAATACTTCTCATACTAAATTTTTAACATCTAATATTGCCATAAAATATGCTCGCTTCCTTTGGAAATCTGCAAGTAAAATAGATAAAGCTATTGAAGTATTAACAGACATAATAAATAAAGATAAAGACAATATGCAAGAAAATGCTAGATTACTTTTGCAATTGGTAGAATTAAAGATGAGTATGAAACCTTTGGATGAAAAATTTGTTATTCAAACTTTTGATGATATTTTATCTATGAGTAGTGTTAATTTAGAGCAAAAAATTTTATTTTCTCAACGTAAATTAGAGTTTATTGAAAACTACACTGAAAATCTTGAGTCATTACGTAAAGCTATAAATGAATTTAAATGTTACTCAGAATTGTTGGCCAAAGAAAAGAAAAAAGCAATCGCTGTAGCAGAAGAAGAAAAATCTCGAGTAGAAAAAGAAATGAAAACAAAGCAATCTCAAGAATTGACTGTGTCGCCTAGTACACAGAGTACTACTCCAAATTATCAACAGTATTCTTCAAGTGGGTATTATCCTCAACAGTATACATCAGGATATAATCAGCCATATCAACAATATACACCAACAGGACAAGATTATACCTATCAATATCAAAACTGGAGTTATTCTCAACCAAACTATAACCAGTCATGGGGTTCATATAACTATGGGAATGGTTATTAATATGTATATAACTTAATTTTGATAAAATAAACATATGTTATTGAGTGTTACAAGTATATAAAAGAATTTTCAACAAGAAAAAAAAAAAAGAGTTTATTTCATTTACAATTTGCGCAAAAGTAGTTAATTAGTTTTATTATACATAATAATTGCATACACACAAAAATTCTTAAAAATTAGATTATTATTACATGTGTAACATATTTTATATTACATTTTTTACAACTTTTGGTTCAATTTACTTAACTCATATAAATTGTTCCAAAAAGTTACTCTTGTCTCATTCAATAGTCCGTCAATCATAGATGTATTATAGCCATTTAATGACAAATATTTAGGATTCTTCAAACTTGTATTAATCCATTTAATATCAAGGTCCGCTGAATTGGGGTTTCTAAAAAATGAATAAAATGAATAATTATTTCTTGATAACGAGATACACGGGGAAAAATATAATAAGAATCTAGTTTAGAAAATATATAAATAGAAAGAAAAATCAGGTATTTACAGAGGCAGATAAGTAGTATTCCAGTTTACTATTCTAAGAAATGATGGATCTGGAATAATTGACCATCAAAATTTTTTAATACCAAAAAAATATCTCGTAGAAAGATTACAATTATGATGACTGTTTAACTTAACCCGGATTTATAATACGAAAATCTGGCTAACAGTATTTATGGTGTAAAATAGCAGGAACAAATCCTTCTTTGTATATTATTTTCTTACCCAGTTTTTGCAAAATTAGTCCACCATTTGCTCATCATTTTGCACATACTTAGGTCCTCTGAATTTGATTTAGGTGAAAATCTGAATAATTTCCCATAAAATAAATAACTTAATTCGTCAGCATGGCATGCCCCTGTAAAGATAAATACGATTTTCAAAATGAATATTGAGAGTAAATTTTCAACATACTGTGGTTTCATAAGATAAATAGTTAAATTAATCAAGTACCTTTTAACATCCTTATTTCTGGTCTAGAAGCAAAAAGTAGTTTTTTACACATATTAATATCGCCGTCAAATTTAAATTCGTAATTGTAAACTTGCGGACTATTTTTTTCAAGTAAATAGCTAAATGCCCGATGAAAATCTTTTGCAAAAAATACATCACTTATCAACTGAAAAATAATAATTTTGCATAAGTTATAATATTCATAATATTTTTTCGTGTAATAAATAATAAAACTGATTGTTTAGGTATGAAAATTTAAATGTACTTCGTCGTAATAAGACAATATTGGCTTGAAATAAGGGCATATTTATAAAGGCTAACATCCCCTATAAATAATATAATTGAAGTATACAACACCTATATGAACTACATTTAATATAATCAATGTACTACATATACATTTTTTATAAAATATAATAATAAATTAGCTACGTTTGAACATATAAAGGAATTTAAGAAAATTACTAAATTACAATTAGTATACACTAGTAAAATAAATAAATTCATATTAAAAATTATTTAATGGTTGTAAATGTAACAAGTGTATTTTAATATTCGAATATATAAATATAAATTAATATAAGTAGACTAAAAATGTGCAATATACTTAAATTATTTTTTAACATAAGTTTTTAAAAAACGTTTTAAAATTTTAATACGTGAGATTATTTGAAAAAAAATTCAGTTCACATTGACTTTTTATCAAAATATTTTATTTATCAAATTTTAGATGAGGAATTTAAAAAAATATATTTCTTTGAGAATTTCATTAGTTTTAGAATTTCATTGCATGGTAAAATTATGTAAAAAAAATTTTAATCTTATTTTAATAAAAAAAATATTATTGTATTTGTTACAACTAATTATTATAAGAGGTTTCTTCAAAGAAGTATAATTACCGTGCAAATATTTTCTAATTGTTCATTGTTTGTTTTGAGGTGGTGATTTTTAAAATAGAAATTTTGAATTTTTTCTCTAACTTCATCATTGTTTAGTTCGTTTTCCAGAAGTTTACTTATTTTATCAAGTTGATGAAATTTCATCAATGTTTTTAATCTATGTTCTATAATACAATAAAAAAAATATATACAACACAATATAATATAAAAATGTGTTATTTTTATCATGACTCAGACGTATTATAAAAATAGAATAATATTAAATAAGTCTATATTTGAAAGGTTTTTTTGAGATGTTCAATTCTCATATAACCGATCTACGTGTTCTTTCTGTTTAGAAGGTGTAGGAACGTATAAGATTTTTAGAACTGGTTTTAAAGAGGATCGGATTTTATTAGGACTTCTCAAGTTTTTCTTTTCTAAGGGTTCCGGTTAAAAACCAATTCTAAAATGGTTTAATACAAATAAAAAAAAATATTTTTTATCTTTTATTATTATTTTTTTTTTTTGAAGGTAGGTATCAATTTACATTATTACCACCTTAAATACCCCGCGATGATCTTAGAAATTATTTAGTTATATACTTTTTTGCTAATAATTTATTATCGTGATAATAACATAATTAATATTTTAAAACAGTAACATGTGAGTCATATAGATTTGCATGGTGACATGGTTTATAGCTGATTTTAAAAACCTTAAAAAAAATTGGTTTTCGGTAGAGTTCCGGGACTTTAAAATAATCTTTATAAGTAATATAATTTTTGGTAAATATGATAAATTGGTTTCAAATACAAATTCAAGCGTTTTACGAAATTGATTATAATCATTGTCAGGTATCAATTAATTCTAATCTGAAATAATGTCTCAACTCTACTATGCTATTTCTCGACTGTATTAAAAAACATAAATAATGTTTTTTAAACTCGCATTGATAAGTTGTCAAAGTTATTGTTCAGTGTTTTCATAAAAGTACACCGCTTATTTGATGGGACTTTAACAGGTTGATAAAATAAAAAAATAATTTTTTCTTATCTTGTATTATTATTAATACGATTATTTCTGAATAAATTTTATAGATATAATAATCTAGCAATCATGGCATGAATATGAACTTAAAATCAGTTATTATATACTATATAATATATATATATATATATATATATTTGCTTGTTATTTATCTAAAAATAACATGAATAATAATTAAAATTATACACCTGTAAGTATATTACCATAAGTCATTTGTGGCTCACGGTTTTGTCATGTGCTTATAATTTTATACGAAATAAGATAAACTAATTTTTGGAAAAGATCAATAAATTCTAAGTACTGCTGCATATCTTATAGATTAATAAAATATTAAAAATTGCAATTGTACCAATTTAATAATTTTTATTATTTACTCTTCATTTTAATGAATTAACATATATGGTGTTGGAAATGAAATGCTATATAATTTCCAAAACTTCTTGAAGTAACGTTTTTAATAAAAACAAATTCTTAATATAATATAATAAATACATATAATATTGTTCAGTTGCTTTGAACCTGTTCACCTCAAATAATTATTATTCATATTACATATTATTAAAATTAATTATAAATGTATTTAAATTATTATTGTTTTGTGTACAAAACATCTTATTCCACGCATTTACAAGTGGGTGAAATAAGATATTAGGTTGAAAAAAATACATAACTGTCAATATTTTCACACCTACCAATTGTCGTAGTTTTTGGTTGTTCTAATTTAATAGGTATATAATTATTTTGTTAATATATATATATATATATAATTCCCATCCATTCACAATTTATACTTTCTAAAAATAGTGGCTATTCGAAATTTGTACATAAAATATTCATCAAAAATATAATTACCTGCAAATATTATCAGTCCTTCTCTGTTATTGATCCCAGATATTAACGGTATTGAAGGAGCAGTTTTTAATAAGTTTTCTGGATTATCAGGTAAAAAGCGTTCACTAACTTGATAACTTTCAACAGATGGAACAAACTGATAGTTAATTATATCCCTTTGTCCCTATTTGAAAAAAAATAACTACAGAATTAGTCATCACAATAAATAATTATTAATACGACAAAAGTATTTTCAAAAAATACAAGGGTGCCCAAATTAATTTTTACATAACGGAAAAAATTTAAAATAGGTTCCCTTGATTGTTACAAAGCTATAAAAGAGAGTAAAGCTATATTTTTAGAAATGTTTAGTGATCATCTAAAATAAAATCCGGTGTTTATTATCATTACCTTTGATAATGCGTATTATTATTTACTATATTATATATGACGCGTACTTCTATAAGTATTTTGTAGGAAAAATATTACTTCAGAATCAGCGTAACAAAAATATAGTAAACATTTAATGATTAAAACGAGGAAATTCAAAAAGATAAAACAGTAAAATGTATTGGGTATAAGGTTGGCATTTATTTACCGATGTATTCACCAGGATCGTATTTATAACTTATTTTAGGACTGAAGCGAATTAATTTTTTCTTTGGTAAACATGCTAGAGAAAATATTTTTGTTAAAAAGCGAATTGAGTACCAAAAAAAAAAAGGTATTTACAGCCTTATGTACGACCACTACTATCGCCCTCCCCTCCACGCCATTGGTGTTCACAATAATTAATAATATTCTAATTTTAACACTATTAATGGTACTAACAACATTAATAAAAAAAACTTTTATGGAAATATAAGTATTAGGGTGAAATGAATAAAATAAATTTTCTAATAAAAGAAGCCAAAATTGAATTTGTTTAAATGTATTAGAATACAATACATTTTTATATAATTATTTGCAATCATTGTTAATAGTTGATGTCGGTTTCCGAATTTCAAATTAATGTCAAACTCTAATGAACTAATTGTACTATAAATGTATTGATAAAATATGTTATTAATCCAGTACCTTAAGTTAATACAGATGAATAGTAAAATTTATAATTAAAAGTTATTAATTTATGCAAATTTATACAAATTTATATTACCATTCTAAATAATCGCTTGCAATGGAGCATTAGTATAAATAATGAAGTCATTAGATATAAATAATTTCAGAATAACTGCAGTCATTTAAATGTTTTATAATGTATGTATAAATTTATAGATGAATGTATATTGTACATTTTATAAAATTTCATAGTTATTACATCAGTAATCTAAAAAATGTATGTTACAGGATATGAACATTTCTAAATTTATAGTAAAAATATAAAATGACTGAACTTTATTCAGTAAAATGTTTACTTAGTGTAAAAATAATATTTGATTAAGAATGTCTTTGTATATTTTTAAAATTATTTTAATTAAAAATAAATGATATAATTTGAGTTGTAACTAACCATAAATATAACTTCTTACATAATTTTTAATGATATTGTTCCATATAAAAACAGATTTTAAAAAATTGATAAATTATGAATAAAAAATTGATCTATTTGAGTTTTTTTGATTTATTTAACAAAAGTTAAGATATACTGCCAAAATATCGTATCTGTATTTTTTTAATTTTACAGTATATTGAATTTTGTAAATTTTGTTATGTATGTCATCATGTAATTCGGTTTTTTATAATATCTTTTAGGATAATTATGTTAATATTATGGAAAATAATAATTACAAGATTCTCTTATACTCACAATAGGGCGTAGTACTTAATTTATAATTTTATTTTTAAATTATTATCAATAAAATAGTTTTCTTACTATTAATTTAAAAAATACTCATATGTGTACACTTACTTCAATTTTAAATTTAACAGTCGTAGCTTTTACTAGATCACTCACAGGTACTTTTCTTAAATATTGAACTATTTCGTGTGGATCTTTTGCTGTACATCCCAAATTTTCTGCTATTTTATAAGCGGCTTCTGTATGATGATTATTAAATGCCCAGCAATTAAAAGCACATCCACTTTGCATAATAGCTTTTTGAAATAAACCCAAGCCTATATAAAAAGTTATATGTTTTTCTTGTATTATACTGCGGAAAATAAAGTTATTACTAAAATTAATCAAAACTGATTAATTATAATGAGATATAATTACATTTAATTGTTCAAAAATTCTACAGAATGATCTGTTTATCACAAACCACTTAATTACTCGCAAAATAAACACAATATTGCGAAAAAAATGTTTTTATTTTTTAGTTACATTTATTTCTCAAATTTTTGAATATTTTAAATTAGCTTATAAAATAGGAAATAATCTTATTAAGAAAATGACTAATTGATAACAACTCTTAAACCAATACTTCAGAAGTTATGATGATATTAAAATTAAACTAAGGTAACATAGGCGTAAGGGGTAGCTCTGACTACTATTTTTAAATTATTAGACATTCCCTTAGAATGATATTAGCATACTCGAGCAGATATTGCCAATCTTTTAAAATTTTGTATTAAAAATTAAAATAATTTCTTATACAATTGTAAGAGTATGGATAGTTAAGCATTTTTATATACTTTTTTTAAGTTTAAGTTTTATTGAAACATTGTCTTTTAATATTGGAAATATGCAATGCCATCGGTGTAGTATATGTTAAACCTACACCCAAAGAAAAACCTCAATCAATTTTGATAGAGAAATTTTATCAAAGGTTTATGATAATGTTTTATTAATACGAACAAAATAATTATTCTTATGAATAATTATTGTTCAAGACAAGAAAAAAAATCATCATATTGATAAATATATCATAGATTCAATAGTAATGATATATATATATCAAAGTGAACAATGAATTTATTATATAGATCGAGGTTTTTCTCTGGGTGTAGTAATATGTTTATTTTTCGAGCGTAATAAATTTTTTTTTTTTAGTCTATGGAACTTAGTACCCTCAAGTCTAAAGCACTATGCCTAACGCTTATGTAGGAATGAGGTGCGAGTACGACTATTTATATTATTTGATGTTTCTCGGTCGCACCTTCCTTCAGCCCATGTATAAAAATGTTAATAATTTCTAAAGTACTAGTCAAAAAATTGTAACTGACCAATCATTTCCTACTTTATAAGCTAGTTAAATATGTATGTTATTATTCAAAAAAATAAAGCTAATACCTCTAAAAGTTATAAGGGATGAAGATAAACGGATCATTTGTATACAACATCTGTATTATTTAAACATTTTTTAGTTAAAATAAAAAATCATAAGGCCAGGTTCTGAAATCACAATTATTTATTTATTTTATATCTATAACATATTACCAGACGTTAAAGGAGACATCATATGGTAATGAACTGATGCCGATCCTGCACTCTCACCAAATATTGTAATATTTTCACTATCGCCCCCAAACGCAGATATATTTTCTTTAATCCATTTCAAGGCAAATAATTGATCTTTTAAACCCATGTTACCAGGGCATTCGTCAATACCAAAATTTAAAAATCCTAGAATTATGAAATAATTTATATTATGCAAAACATTATTAACGTCTATAGCTTAAACTGTATAGTTTAGAGATTTCCACTTAAAAGTATAAATAAATAAGACTTCTGTATTAACAATAAAATTGTGTAAATTCTGTTTTATGAATGTATGATTAAATACTCAAGTGATTTATTTGAATTTTTTTTGAGAAGTGTCCTGAAAATTTATAATCTTTTTAATTTTGTTTCTTGTAAAACATCTTTCAAAGACCATTTTTTTATTGGTTTTACTATACTTTTATAAATAGTGTTTTATTCTATTTATGAAATTATTAGTTACATTATTTTAGTTTATTTTCTGGATTCGAGCAGATTTTTAAATTTTGAAAAACCTCTAAATAATCTCGTTCAATTTGTTTTTCAGAAATATTTTATTTAATTAGGTTTTTTTTAATGTATTAAAGATTGCAACGTAAACCCCACCAATAGAAAAAAAATTGACTTGTTATCTTAACAGTTTTATTGTTAATAAAAAAAATTTAAATTTATTATCCTCGTTATTTATTAGCAGGTGTTACAGAAATTGGAACCAACATACATAATTAAAGTAACCAAAAATGTTATTAGATAAATAAATATTAAATAATAAATTATTTAATATTACCTAAAACATTTAAGCGATAGTTAATAGAAACTACAATTGTGTTTTCATCAAGTAAATAGTCAGGAGAATAAAAATCTTCTGATGCAGAACCAAAGTTGAATGCACCACCGTGTATGAATACCATTATAGCCTTTTTTTCGTCATCTATCTATAAACAAATTGTTATTTCAATGTATCTGAATTGTTAGAAAAATGGATTTAATATTTACTTGAGGTACGTATATATTTAAATGTAAGCAATCTTCATTTCCAACAATTGTTTTTGTTACCATTGCATCATATTGTGGACATTTACTTTTTTCTGTAAAAGCTTTATAAACACCAGTCCACCCATCGTGTTTAATTGGTGGCTATAATGAAAATTTAAAATAGTAACTATTAATTAATTTACAGAATTGTTCTGATGTTAATAATTAGAAGATTTATTAGCTTTGATGTGTAGCTGTGAATCTATTGGTTTTATTCTGCCGTATTATTTTTATGGTGACATAACACCACTTCTACCATAATGCTAAAAAATACGCCAAAAGATCACAAAAATTATCTAGCCGAATATATAACCGCCATAAGTTAAACAATTTCCCTCAGTCCCAGTAATATAGAAAAATGCCACCCAAAAAATACAGTTGTTATAATTTGGTCAATAATGACATTTTTAGTTTCCACTTTATATTGAAATAAATGGATGAATTGTCAAATTCTTATTAATAATACTTTAGACATTTTCCTTGTTGAAAAAATACTTTTTTTGAAAATCCAATTATAACTACTATAAAGTGCAATTAAGATGATAAAAGAAAAAATTATATGAAATCTCGATTTCAAGAAATTATTGGTCTTAAAATAAAATAATTATAATATTAAAAAAACGGTAGCACAGTGGGGTCGAGACACAGTGTAGACAAGGTATAGATGGGACAAGTATAGATAATATCTGACAGTGATTAAAATCACTATCATAAGAAACGCTTCGATGCAAATCTGTAGATAGTGTTTCATTTAGAAAAATTGGTGGATTATTCCAAAAGCAACATCAACTCTTATTTCTTTGATTATATCCTAATTAGTAGTTCTTTGATTTTAAAATATAATATATGAATAAATACTAATTATAATTATTAAATTTAGTATGAAATTGATATTCAATAATTTAATATTGTAATTTAAACGGAGAAATTATAAAAATAATAAAGAAGTTGTATTTTGCTTTATTTTTACGTGTATAAAAATTTAAAGGGCTTAATACAATAATTTTCAATAAAAACTGTTTGNGAAAGGGCTTGATACAATAAATTTCAATAAAAACTGTTTGTTACTATAAATAAATTCACTGAACTACAAGGAACTTTCATCAGTAACAAAAATATACCATTCTAAATCAACTTTTCGCGATGTTTTTAAATCTGCAATTAGACTATTTCTATCAATTCTAAATTTTAATATTATTAAAAATTAGTATTTACATATAAAAAATTCGCATCGAAGCTAAAAAATTGGCTTTTTAAGCTAACTCAAATTTAAAAATTACTTTTTCGACTTTAAAAAAGTAAAAAAAATTTAATAAGTTTAATTTCTTATGTCTTATGAACTTNTAATTATAATTATTAAATTTAGTATGAAATTGATATTCAATAATTTAATATTGTAATTTAAACGGAGAAATTATAAAAATAATAAAGAAGTTGTATTTTGCTTTATTTTTACGTGTATAAAAATTAAAAGGGCTTGATACAATAAATTTCAATAAAAACTGTTTGTTACTATAAATAAATGCACTGAACTACAAGGAACTTTCATCAGTAACAAAAATATACCATTCTAAATCAACTTTTCGCGATGTTTTTAAATCTGCAATTAGACTATTTCTATCACTTCTAAATTTTAATATTATTAAAAATTAGTATTTACATATAAAAAATTCGCATCGAAGCTAAAAAATTGGCTATTTAAGCTAACTCAAATTTAAAAATTACTTTTTCAACTTTAAAAAAGTAAAACAAATTTAATAAGTTTAATTTCTTATGTCTTATGAACTTTATTCTATGTCAATTAAATTATATAATATTCAGGAAAGTCAATATATTCTCCTAATAAGATATTTTAAAATAAAATAAAATACAAAACCTAGAATTTTAATAGAAAAATAGCATATTTTTGAATACGGTAGCCATTTGCGCATAGAAGATAGGTCGTCGGGACAAATTTTTTTTTTTAATTTTGTAGTACATAAAATAAGCTTTAATTTGATATATGTTTAAAGGACGCAGTATTTCCGGAACATTTTCAAAAATTAAGTTGAAAAAGTTAGTTTTTGTAAAAAAGTTGCTATTTTAAATCCCCCCTGTGAGCAGAATAAGTGTTAGATTTTCAAAAAAAAATGATATCAAATGAAAGAAAATTACCTAAGGTTTCAATATAAAGAAATATTATTTTGATTAGTTAATATTTGAAAAAGTTATGGCAGTTTTAAGTACAAAAAACATCGTTATAAAAGGTGATTTTTATCGCAAATATTACATTTTTTTTATAATTTCGACAGCCATTTGCACATAGAAGATAAGGTGTCGGGACAAATTTTTTTTTTTCATTTTATAGTACATAAAAAAAGCTTTAATTTGATATATGTTTAAAGGACGCAGTATTTCCGGAACATTTTCAAAAGTTCAGTTGAAAAAGTTCTATTTTTTATACAATGTTTCAAAGTTTGAACCCCCCCTATATAAGGGGAAATTGTCTAATTTTAATAAAAAGTATGTCAAATGGAAGATGTACTTATAATGTATTTAAAAAAAAAAAAATTGTGCTGATACATGCATTTTTCGAAAAGTTATAGCATTTTTAAGTTGAAAATTAAAAATCGAAAATCGAAAATTTTAACACAAAAATAGTGTTTTTTTAACTACGGCAACCGTTTACATGTAGAAGATAAGGTGTCGGGACAAATTTTTTTTTTTCATTTTATAGTACATAAAATAAGCTTTAATTTGATATATGTTTAAAGGACGCAGTATTTCCGGAACATTTTCAAAAATTAAGTTGAAAAAGTTAATTTTTGTAAAAAAGTTATTATTTTAAATCCCCTGCAATGAGCAGGTTAAGTGTTAGATTTTCAAAATAATGATATCAAATGAAAGGGAAATATCTAAGGTTTTAGTATAAAAAAAAATTATGTTGATTTTTGAAAAATTTATGGAAGTTTTAAGAAAAAAAAGTGAAAAAAATGACAAAATTTGTCGATTTTTAAATTTGTAATTTTTTTGGATATTTCCCCCATTTGCGGGGAACGAGGNCATTTTTTTTGGATATTTCCCCCATTTGCGGGGAACGAGGGAAAATTTTTCAATTTTAAGGGTAATGTCTTCAATTAGATACGATTTGTGATCTTTTGACGTATTGTTGAAAGAAATCGGTCCAGTGAGAGCTGAGAAAAAGTAGTGACAGACACAAAAAAAAAAAAAAANAAATCGGTCCAGTGAGAGCTGAGAAAAAGTGGCAACAGACTTAAAAAAAAAAAATATAGTAAAATGAATACCTTCTCATCGAAGCTAAAATATGATATATATTGAACACATTTATTAGTTTTATGTACTAGGAGTACTATTAAACAAACATATACCCAGAGTTTAAATTTTAACTATTAATTTTTATATGAGACAATACTATTTAGTTTATTTTATATAATGTTTATCTTATAATATTTATAAAGTAAAATGAAATTAGCTTAATGTTAAATTATAAAGAAAATATAATGTAGAAAATCGCACAGAATAACAAATTAAAAACTTGTCTGTTGTTATAAGAAAATAAAAAGTAAAATAAATGTAGATTGGCTAACGAAAGCATCGTAAACACCGGATCCGTAAAAGGTAATCGGCTACGATGTGACCATCATAATATATAAAATAAAAGAGAGATAGAAGAAACAATTTATATATACAAGATAGGAAGAATGATAATGATGTACAATATTACATTTATTTAATACTTCAAAAAAGTGTTATGTTTCATGACTCAGTATAAATTTAGTATAATTTTAATTTTGTAATGAAATTTACACATCGTGTTAATTATTAGTAATTTTACTATTAGATAAAAGTTATAATAATAAATTTAATGTTATAAATTAAGTAACAAATCGATTTTTTAACACTACAAGGGGTAAGTGGTACAGCAATGCTGTACTACAGCATATAAAAAAAATCTGTATTCCATAACTAGAGTATTTAAACTAAAGGAAGTTGACAATATAAAATATAAAATTAAACATATGTTTTTACAAATGTAAAAAAATGTTAAAAAATAAAATCGAAATAATTCCATTTGACTACAAATTTTTTTGTAAGCAACACGACCGACTATTAGTGACATACTATTTATTAGATTGTGGTATAGCAAAAGGAAAGGGGGGATTATACGTAGAATTAAAGAGGAAACCTTAAGATTATTTTTTTTTAGTATTTTAGGGTAATCAATAATTCTATTTATAATTTTGTAAAAATATATAGTATCAAAAACTGATAGTCTGATTTTAAGTGGCTTTAAATCCGCACATTCGCGATCTCATCTGTATCGAGGTAAAAGAACTTCGTTTTAAAGGTACAAAAACAATAAATATTTATTTGAGTTTTCATACAAGTGTAAACATTTTAGTTAAGTATTAATTTTAGAAAAAAATTTATACTTTTAACAGTATCACTTAAAAGTAAACTATTTTTAATTCAGTAATTGGATTACAAAATTATAATCTATAAATGACTTACCTTAAATCGTAGTTCTTTAATAGGAGCTTTTGCATATGGAACTCCTAAAAAACTAACATACGGAATTTTCGATATACATGTTTTGAAATAAAGACCTTGTATGATACCTTGTTCAATTCTAAGAGTCATTTTTCGTCTTGGCTAAAAAGTTAAAATAAATAAGTGTTAATAGTAAACTTTAAATATTTTTTTGACGGTAATTTTTACAGGAAAGAATTGATTATACAAATCTATTATTTCTTCAAAGTTGTATAACTATTTTTTTCATTTTAAATTAAATTAATTATAAAACGTTAAAAATTTCTGGGAGAGAGGAATTAAACCCTCTAACCAGAAATGATTGTCGATATTTGAATTTAATGGTGATAACTTTTTCTTAGATAGCGAAGCAGAATAAAAGATGGTGAGCAAAAATAGTAAAAATCTCCCCCTATATATTTGCCTCTAAATACCAAATAATATCAACTTAAAAAATAATCGGTTTTTCCAAATTTGTTGGTTCAGCCCATTTCTTATCTTGCGTATAACATAGTATTTTTTTATCTCGTTTAAATAATAAAATCCTTATAGCTTGATAACTAAATAGGGTTAAAGACTTTATATTTATAAGGTTCGAGTCTCTTTAACTGAAACTAACTTGAACTTAACAAATTTGTATCAAATACTTCATTAGATTTTTGGAATTATGAACGGGCCTAGAAGATGTGTCGCACTATTATATGTAGTCTAATTCATATTTTTATCAACTATTAATTATTTTATATAATTCAATTATACATTTGATACTACATAAAAGTTGTCGTACAACTGATTTTTTTAATATACACGAAACAATTACAAAAAATTGAAAAAAAAAAACGAAAACATTGTTTCATTTTGCAACATTTTTCTGGGGTTGTTCATAAGAATAAAATTTAATAGGAATACATATCAGAATCTTACCTTACATATTAAAAAGTAAAAATATCGGTATTTGGATAGGATATACCTTTAGTTAAATGTCTGTATATTATAAATGTACACTTGATTCTTTTTATTTTTTACATTAAAATTTAAGTGAGATTTGCAATAATAAAAATAACTTATGTAATACTCTTAAGTGAGCTTATACATAGAGTTTAAAATGTAAACTTAGCTCTATTTAATATTATAATGTATGTAAATATTTCACGGTATCATGAGAATTCAAAACGCAAGTCAATTTTTATCGTAATTCCAAATTAACAAAAATATAAATGATAAAAAAATATCCCTCTACAACCCAAAAAAATCCAGATTTTTGTTTTAAAAATTTTTACATAATTACTGAAACTCCTTTACAAATATTAATTATATTAAAAATAAGTATTAAATATCGACGATGAATTAACCGGCACTATATTCATATTCATATTTTATTTTTAAAATTGAATACATTTAAAGATAAAGATCATCTAATTTATGAATTCAATAATTAGTACATACTAGTTAAACTATCGTTTCATTGAAAAAAATAGTGCTCGCATTATTGTTGAATAATCTGACTATTGAAATTACTTTAAACAAAATTAGAGAAAATAATTTAATTTTCTTTAGTCACAGTTATGGTCAATTTATGGTTAGAACTATTTGACATTTAAATATTTTCAAATGTAGAATACAAATTTATCCCAGTAGCAGGGGATAAGAAAATATCCACAGCCCCTCTGTCAGTCGTAAGAGACGACTAATGAGGTTGCGTCAGGTCAACAGCACGTGTAAAATTTTCTAAAAAAATATGAGGAGCCCTAAAAAAAATTTTTATTGTTCAGGACTTGATCAGAATTGTCTCATCTTGAATATACGCGGAGACAACAGGTAAGAAGAAATGAAATAGTTAGAGATGGAGAAGGCTTAAAGAATAAAGTGTTTGATACCGGCTGGACAACTTGTGCCGTAGCTGTTTTACCAGTCATCAGTATAGGACCATCATTAAGAATACTATTTAGAAGACTCGAGGATCCGGTGGTGGATTTAGGAAGAGTAGTAGTGCACCAATATTTTGTTTTAAGCTCTGACTTATTTTCTACACCCAGAGAAAAACCTCGATCTATGTAATAAATTCATTGTTCAATTTGATAAATATATCATTACTATTGAATCTATGATATATTTATCAATATGATAATTTTTTTTCTTATCTTGAACAATAATTTTTTATAAGAATAATTATTTTGTTCGTATTAATAAAACATTATCATAAACCCTTGATAAAATTTCTCTATCAAAATTGATTGAGGTTTTTCTTTGGGTGTATAGTGATGGATGAAGTTACTATAGAACATGTTAAACAATTTTTTAAAAAAATATGAGGAGCCCTGAACAAAATTTATATTGTTCAGGACTTATAAATTGACATGTATCATGGTGCATGTTGTTCGCTGACGATATAGTGTTAATAGAAGAATAAGCAGTGTTAATAAAGAGGAAATTAATCAATGGCTAGAGGTGTGGAGATCTGCTCTTGAAGGAAAGGGATAAGAGGCGTGACTAGTGAAGATAGGACAAGAAACGAACATATAAGAGATACTTCCTCTTATATGTTCGTTCCTTAGATTTAGCGTCAATCGTGGATAAGATGAGAGAAAAAAACAATTAAATGATTTGGTAATGTTATGAGGAGAGAGGAATCGGAAGCCGTAAGAACAGTTATAGATATGAATGTGAATTTTTAAAATTGGTAATGGTATTTTGTCTCTATAGAATTTTCCTATACAAATACTAATTACAATCTCGCGAAGAAAATATTTTTTAAGATTTATGTTCTATATTAGAAATAGTGTATACAGGGTGGCCCACCACTCACTGTCAACTTAAATAACTTTTGATCCAGTTAATATTTTTAGCTGATTTTTTTTTTAAATATTAGTTAGACGTTAGGTCTATAGCTATATCTCAATAATTAATTTTTTTACATTTTATTAAAAATATTAATTATTTTTAAATTTTAAATAAAATGTAAAAAAAAAATCTAAGATAGCTATTTTGTAGAGTAGAATTTAAGAAAAATTTTAGTAAAAAAATATCTTATTAATATTCAGTAGTAAATATTCTGTAGCGTTTTGAAGTTTGTGAAAATTTGAATTTTCATGTACTATTTTACGGTATTAAACATTGAAATACGTATTGAGAAAAGGACAGAAGAAAACGCTATCTTTTCAATATACTTTTGAATGAGAGTGATAAGTAATAATTGCCTTATCTAATTTCTTATCATGGTATTTATGCCAAGTTTGTAATGTATACACACTATCATCATATGTATACACAGTAATCATGAAAAGATAGCGTTTTCTTCTGTCCTTTTCTCAATACGTATTTCAATGTTTAATACCGTAAAATAGTACATGAAAATTCAAATTTTCACAAACTTCAAAACGCTACAGAATATTTACTACTGAATATTAATAAGATATTTTTTTACTAAAATTTTTCTTAAATTCTACTCTACAAAATAGCTATCTTAGATTTTTTTTTTACATTTTATTTAAAATTTAAAAATAATTAATATTTTTAATAAAATGTAAAAAAATTAATTATTGAGATATAGCTATGGACCTAACGTATAACTATTATTTAAAAAAAAAATCAGCTAAAAATATTAACTGGATCAAAAGTTATTTAAGTTGTCAGTGAGTGGTGGGCCACCTGTATATGGATATTTTTATTTAAAGTTATGATAAAAATTTATGGGTTATAATTATGTATAAATTAAAATTATATAAAATTGGAGGTAGCACTCCAATAAAAAGGCTGAGCACCCCTAATTAGTCTTGTTATAACAGTATTTTATGTATATAATAATTAATATTTTTCTGGCATTAGCACTTACTCCTCTTTATTGAAAAATATCGAGTACGCTACTGTATAACTCATTACAAAACTCTCAAGTCTATTTAAAATTATTTTTATTTATTTGTTTTTTTGTTTTTTTTTTAATAGAAAATCGGTAAAAACAAGTTTAATGTGTAAAAATAAAATTTTAACAGAATAAACTTTAATGAAATATATTTAAATATGCGAAATATTTAAAGCATATAATTATGAACTGATTGTATAATTGGTGATAATGAACAAAAAAAATACATAAAAAACAATCATGCTATCATAATAGTTTAGATATCTTAAGTTTGCATTTAAAATTAATAAATAAAAATGAAGAGTTTTTATAAATTGTATTTGTTTTATATTATAATTAGAAAAATTAATATTAATATACAATTTATTAATATAATTAGGTCAAAAATCTATTAATTTTATTGAAAAAAAATACACTAACAAGTTATTGCATCATAAAATTACTGGATTTGTCGCATTTTATTTTAGAAATGTATTAATAAAATAGAAAAAGTTATGTAACGTTTTTTTTTATTAACTTACATGTATTTATAATAATTTAATATTATAATTATTCTATTGATTCACTTCAAATAAATTCTAAACTCTGTCTAACTTATGGCTTTTAATTAATAGAAGTACATGTAAAAAGAATCACTCAGTTTCAGTGTAGGTGCTTATGATTTCTTTTAAAGGCAAAGGCTAAAATATTGCTTCTTTATTATATCATTAACACGTAATTCTTTTTCGTTAATGAGCTTCACTTAGAGTTCCAAAGAATCATTCTATCAAAATTCCTGACATTTACGTCATTGAAGACTGGCTAAATATTTCACTTAGTCGTAATCATCTAATACTGGTAACTCAACTCGTATTTAAAGGGGACAAAAAAGCCTTGGAGTGTTTAGCCTTCGTATTGATTATATTAATTTTATATTTTAAGAAAAAAATCTACTAACCATTTATTTTTGTTGAAATAACCCAAACTAAGCTTATTGCCAAATACTAGTTTCATCCGACTTTATTTTTTAGTTTTATTTTAATGGTACTAGGATAACGAAATTAAGTTTTTCTATCGATTTATTTTTTATCTTGAATATTTTAGAAGTTTTTTCACATACAAATATTCTAAATAATATATATTACAAAAAATGTTGTATTTTTTTTTATATCTAATATATTAGTTATATTAGCAAATCATAAGGGGAGATAAAAGCAAAATTCTCATAACAATTTTTTCCTTTTCACGACTCTACCTTCGTGTAGACAGTATCTCTAAAAACCTACAAATTAATCCTTTATTACATGAATATTTTAAACAAGATGCAACTTTTTTAAATGTTTATTATTTTTTTAATTTTAGTATTTCAAAATCAATTAAATAGTTGTTTATTTTAGGTATAACTTATGAGAAATAAAATCAGATACCTTCTGTAATATAATAAAATAAAATATAATCATGAAATTATTATAATGATATGACATTAATTTAAGTCTTTTATAGACGTCTGTTGATATATTAACAAATTATTATGTAAAGGAGAGAGAGCATAATATTATTAAGAGGTTGTTTAAAAAAATAAGTCTTCAATAATTTCTCAGAATTGAATATAAAGAAGCATATTTTGTCGACTATTGTTTTTTTTAAAGATTAATAACAGTTCAATAACCTAAAATCTACACAGTGATATTGATTTTAAAGGGTGATAAATTTATGTTGTCTCCTAGAAGTGAATCTTAATTAAGGCTTTGAATCTATATTTACAGGTAAATAAACGCTAGAACCAGTGTCATTTTGAAGGGTTAATGGGATATAAGACATACAGTTTATCCATTTGGAGCACTAGAGAACACCCTAAAATAAATCTTGAAAATATTTGTATAATGTGTACTGTACAGTTATATGAAAACAATACTGGTATAGCTAGTTATACCTTTTTATACATGGCAGTACTCGATGTATTATATACGTAAAAAATATTAAAAGAACAGAAGAAAAATAATAAAAATAAGTAATAAGTTCATTTAAATCGTGATTGGAAAAAATAGAGTTAACTAGAATAAATTAACACGTTTTAAATATATTAATCCGTTACATTAACTTGTCACATAATAATCAAAAAATCTAAATTAAAAAGCTATATTTTTTACTACTTATATATTATTTTAATCAATAATAAACAGTATAGTACAGACTTAAATTTACAGAATTAAATTTATTAAGTAGTAAAAATATAATAACTTCTCAATCTCTTAATGTAATAAGTGTAGATTATTCACTATAAATTTTAGTTCCCAACGAATAATTTTCTAATATTAAGAGTACTTAAATAGTAATTAGTAATTGGCTACGATATTTATGCTAATTCGTTAAAAATTTTAGCATGAAATTTAATATGTTTATACAGTATTTAATATTTATACAGTTACAGTCACTGATCTTTATCATTCATAAAACGAGTATGTATTAAAGTATTGAACGCATATTATAATAAAAATAATTGTATTGTTTGTTTTATGGCGATACTACATCAATACTTGATGCATACCATTAAAATCACTTGCCGAAATTCGATTCTCTATAATAATTAAATTTGCATAACGAACAATACTTAGAATCACTAACGACGTAGAATAATAAATCGAATCAATTAAACTCGTAATAAACGTGTCGTTTCATAATAATTTATAGTACGCTAAATTGATTTTAAAATTAAGTACTAGAAGTATATAAGTTAGTAGAAATAAGTTTCTGTGTACGACTTACTATAATCCTCGATAGATATCCAAGAAGTTTGTTGATTATAACAGTCAGGGCGATACGCCATAATACTAATTTTCGAGTAAATTTCGACATAATTATTATTACGGAAACGATTGGCGGCCGCGACGTGCGGCTAACAAATCGCGACTAACCCACATTTTTGAACATTACGGCAGCACACATTCAATTGAAGATACTACTGACGAGGAACATGCGCATTTCGTTTCCCCTTCCTTTTGACCATAAACATCACTTTAAAATCCTCTAGACAACTACTTTTTGTAACTCTTGCAATGGTACTGCTAACATACATGTTGGTATGATACATAGTAAAACTAAGCGTAGTTTGTGGACTGTACAATTCATTCAAGTTATGACGATAATGATGGAAAGATATTATCTAAGGCTGTGATCCGTTACATATTCTTGAGCCCATTACTAACTATTTACTGTGATAACCCACTCCTAAAAACTGTACTGAAGGTTAATCAACGTCTGCAGTAAAATAATAGTTGTGTAATCAACTACATAACTAATAAATTAATATTTATTAATAGCGATAAATACACTTGTTTTTTTAATACATTTTGATTAAACGATATTGATTTGATTTAGTATTACTCTTTATAGGATTTTTCATTTGAAACCAGTTCACATATACGTTAAAGTGAAAATAAATAAAATTTCCGTTAAATTGTTAAAATTTTAATTTCAAGTCCTCTACTTGTGCACAATCGCATCGAAGCGTTTTATAATGATGATGTTTACTTCTTTCAGATTTCAATCTATAGTAGAGTCCACTATGCAGGATCCCAAATATGATAGGTCCCGCCTGAACTAGGTTTTTTTTTATTTATCTATAAATTGGCTTAATTTTTCCAATAGCTTTGATTTTCTTTTTATGATTATATATTTATTGAAAACAATGTTGATTTTTAGGTCTATTTTTGTGTCTATAAAGGTAGTAGAGTGATGTAAAGAGGATGGTAAATGTGTAGTAAAACATTCTGTACTTCTGATTAAATTATCAAAATTTTTAATTTGATATAAAATAGCATCTAACCAAAATTAAAATTGCGACCTAAATTACTCATTAAGGCTTTATTAAGTTAAATAAAGCTGCTGATACTTCGTGAATGGTTTTTTATGTAAAAATATGTGCACGAAGTATAACTTTATCGAGTAAAATTGATAAGTAGATTCTCAAACTTATATATATATATATAATGAGAATAACAAATATAATTTATTTCTGATTTTTGACAAAAAGACAGATTATGTAGTATTGTGGTAGCAGTAATACTTTATCGTGTACTAAAACCCAATTTGCAGTGAAATTTAGCGAGTAATAATACGGTGCCAGTTACCTGTATGTTAGGATAATATCGGGTTTATTGTAAAAAAAAAAAAACATTAAGGATTCACTTTGAAAATTAAAAGAGATCTCTTAATTATTTTTATACGATTGAAATTGAACTATTAAAATCGTAAACAAGTCTATAAATTATAATTATAAAACATTTTTTCAATATTAATATTGATAGTATTTTTTATTGGTACATTTTATGAATAAGTAATTTTTATCAAAAACATTTAGGAGTAATATTCTTAATAAATTATCACTATAAACTGTATATTGTATACATATATAATGCAAATTATGAAACTGTGAAAATTTGTTTTAACCTATATTATAAATACACTATTATTAATATATATATATAAAATATTTTTTTATTGATTTAACATAATATATTTTCAAATATATAAATTACATTATCAATACATTTCATAAATATTATTTAAAACCTATTCATATTTGTTCATTTAGTATATTGTCCCAAAACAGTGTGCAATCTTCATGCAATAACCCTTCAACCATGGAAGTATTAGATCCATCCAATAACAAATATTTAGGGTTTTTCAAACTTGTATTAGTCCATTCTACACTGAGATCTGCTGAATTTGGATTCCTAAAAGAAATATTATAATTAATTTTGACTTAAATAATTAAAATTAATAATAAAAATATTTTTATTTCACAATTAAGTACTAATAAGTTAAATTGTATCTCACCCTGTTTTTGCAAAGTTGGTCCATAGTTTGCTCATAGTTTTACACATGTAAAGTTCTTCGGAATTAGATTTCGGTAAAAATCCAAATAATTTTCCACAAAATAAGTATCCTAACTCATCAGCATGGCATGCTCCTATATATTAAACATGTTGTAAGTTAGATATCAACTATAATTAGAATTTAAAGTGGGAGACGCAAATGGACTCAGTCTCCCTACGTCTAGTAATAGTTAACTAGTGTCCCTTCTGAAATCGAGTCAAAGTTTATGTAATCACTGTATAGTATGCAGTGATCATTTCGTATACAGTGTATACGAAATGATTAACATAACATCTTTTTTACTATTAAAATCAAGGTTTTTAAAAACATTTAAAAAAAAAAAATCTGTAAACTGTTTAAAAGTCTAAAATGATCCATAAGATGAAAATAAATTGTGAAATTTTTGGTGTTTTAAACAAACGTGTATAAAACATAACAAACTTGGTTAAAATTAATTTTACATTTAATATCGATGTGATTAAATTTTTCATTATTGAAAATTAAGTTCTTTATCGCTATGTTATGTCATATTATCAAAATTGTTAGATAGTTAACTTTTTGAAGAAATTATGAGTTTGTTTTTCATAAATATAACTACTATTCGAACNTGAAGAAATTACGAGTTTGTTTTTCATAAATATAACTACTATTCGAACACACAAATATGACGTCGAATTACAATAAAAATGAAAATTAAATATTTGCTCTCGTGAAGGGTTTAAATTGAGGATAATCTCTGTATATTTATATATAAATCCCGTTTCAATGGTGTTAATTATAAATATATAACAGCTAACGAACTTCTCTAGGACATCTTTTTAAAATATCATATTTGCACATGAGGATTTTTGAATAATTTTTTATGGTGTTCTTAAGGAAATATCAATTATATTACTACGCACCTTTTAATTTATTTATTTCCGGTCTATTTACAAAAAGTAGTTTTTTACAAGTATTCAATTCCCCGTCAAACTTAAATTCATAATTATAAACTTGAGAACAGTCCCTTTCAAGTAAATAGTGAAAACTTCGATGAAATTCTTTGCAATAAAGAACATCACTAAATAACTAAAAAAAAAATAGTTATGCACTAAATTATTATTATTTTTCAATATTAACATCTAATATTTTTTATAAAGTTTAGGGTGGGATGTAGATAAATTTATTTTATATTTAGATTCAGAGTAATCACGAGAAATCACGAGAAATAAGAAATAAATCAAACAATTTTTTAAATATTACTTGAAGAAGATAATATTTTTTTAAATTAAAATTTAACTTCAGGTAAAATATAATCAATAAAAGTATTGTACCGTACAAGTACTATATAATTTTTCTTCGTCAGTTTTCAGATGGTTGTTTTTAAAATAGAATTCTTGTATTTTATATTCAATTTCATCATAATTTATTTCACTTCCAAAGAGTTTACGTGTATTATCAGGTTTATCAAAATTTATCAATGTATCCTTGTCAATTCCTAGAAGTAAAAAATATCTTTTTTAAAGTTAAGATATTAGATTAAAATGAGTTATTTGTGTTCAAAAGATTGTAAGTTATTAGTAAATTTTATTTATTAAATGACTAACTCAGTTTGATGAAAATCTTTATTATAAGAATGATAGAACGGGTAGAATTAATCATGGGCTCAGTTATATGTTTCATTTAACATAATATATTTAATTAAGAAAACAATTGCCTGGAAATGCTATTAATCCTTCTCTATTGTTGATTCCAGATATTATTGGAATTGATGGTGCTGTTTTTATCAATTCGTTTGGATGAGCTGGTAAAAATCTTTCGGTAACTTTATAACTTTCAATAGATGGAACAAATTGGTAAATTAAAATCTCTCTCTGACCCTATATATGAGAAAAAGAAAGTAAGTTAAATTTAAAACTCAAAATGATTTTCGTTAATAAAATTTATTTAAAACTGATAGATTTAATTATAAACTATATAGAATATACAAATGATCTAATTAAAATATATTTGAAACATTTTTGGTACGTGATGTTATAAAATGTCTTACTTAAGTTAGGATTTTGTTTTATAATAAATTGTTTCCAGTGATTCATTTATTAACATATTTATTCAGAGCAATTATTCTATAAGATATTTTCTTCTTCTTTTTCCTCACTTTTATCCTAACTACTTGAGGGCGACCACCCTTATCCAAAACTTTTACTTAACACAATGTCCCACATCTACTACTCTCACATCAGCTGTCCTTATATCACATTGAGTAACATCCCTTCATCTCTTTTTTGGTCTTCTTCTACCGCATCCTTCAAAATTCATTTATATAACTGTTCTTACGGCTTCTAATTTCTCTATCCTCATAATATGACCAAACCATCTAATTCTATTCTTCTCTCATCTTATCCACGATTGACGATAAACCTAAGGAACGAACATAAAGAGGGAGTATTTCTAATATGTTTGTTCTTTAACCTATCTTCACTAGTCATATATCTCATCCATTTAAGAATTCTCATCTTTGCTACACTCATCCTCTGCTCTATTCTTCTGACAACCGCTCAACATTCTGAACTATACATCATAGCTAGTCTCACTATAGTTTATAGAATTTACCTTTCAGCCTCATTGAAATTTTTTTATCGCATAACATACTAGATGTTTCTCTCCAATTCACCCATTTGCACTTAATCCTGTGTCATACATCCTCGTCGATACCACCGTTATTTTACATTCTCTTATTAACACTATATCGTCAGTGAACAACATGCACCATGGTACATGCCCTTGTATTTCTCTAGTAACTTCATCCATCACTATAGAAAATAAGTAAGGACTTACAACAGAATCTTGGTGCACTTCTACTCTACTCTAAAATCTTCGGTTACTCCTCCTACGCTTTTTACCCTGGTAAAAATGCCATCATACATATCTTTTATTATATTAATATACCTTTTCGGAACTCATTTTCTCATTAATGCTCACTTTTTTATAGTTATTTTATTATAAGAAAAATATATAATCTAATATTTTAAGTACAATATCTAGTTTTATTATATCTTATTTGTTTCATATTTCGAATTTATAACTTAAACTTATGAATAAATATAATATAAAAAATCTAAATCAATGTAAATTCAATTTTATTTTTATGTAATAATTTACAGAATTTTTTTAAATGTAGCTTCTTTTAAAAGTGGCGATGAAAAATTATCCTTTGTTACTTTCACGTAAATTCTACAAATGTAACTTACTTTAAACAAGTATTTTGTCGTTGTAGCTTTCACTAAATCACTCACAGGCACTTTTCTTAAATATTTTACTATTTCATGAGGTTCCTTTGCTGTACAGCCTAAATCTTCTGCTATTTTAAAGGCAGCGTCTTTATGATGTTCAGTGAATGCCGTAGGATTAAATGCACATCCACTTTGCATAATAGCTTTTTGAAATACACCTAAATATAAAAGGTACATTTAAAATTAATTTTCGCAATAACTTAATATCAGCTTAATAATTAAGCATAATAAAAACATTGTCATTATATCGACGATAATTATATTATCAAAATAATGATTACGTCTCTTCTCAGTACTTGGAAAAAATTGGCGATAAATGTTTACTATTCCCAAAAACCAGCGTAGTCCCTACATTGAATTTGGCAATGGATGCTACTGTAGGGCGCTAAAAAACACGTTCCGGTGGCGGGTGAGTGCCTTCAGAAGAAACTAGGTACCCGAGAAACTTCACCTCAATAACATCCAGAACTCATTTATGCGGATTAATGATTACATAAAGGCCAAAAGTGTTCCAAATAAGACGCGCAAATGTTGTTTGTAGTCCTCCTCCGATTTAAAGAATACCAAAATGTCATCAATGTACACGTAACAGAAGTCTAATCCGTTGGTACTTCATCTATGAAGCATTAGAAAGTTTGTCCAGCATTTTGGAATCCGAATGTCATAAAAGGGAATTTGTAAAGTCCGAATGAGTAGTAATGGCTGCTTTACATATATCGTCTGGATTAAAAGGTACTTGGTAGTAAGCTTTTACCAGATCAATTGTGAAAAATAATTTCTTAACCTATTTCTGACAACAGCGCATTTTACACTGCAAGGTCAGCCGGCAATGATAAGCGGCTGATGTAATTCAGCAACCGGAAGACGAAAGAGAGGTGAGTGGACGCACAACCGAGTAACCGCGCGCTACATTCGAGTTCACACTCGGCGCGAACGTAATTCTTTTGAAAATATGAAGCATTTTTATTTTCTGTCAATAAAATCATAAATGACAATAAACGTTTGCATACTAATGAATAGACCCATCATAAACAAATCCATGAGCAGTTAATAAATTCTCTTGTATATTTTACTTGTATTTTAACTCAATTATTCAAAACTATAAAGTGTTATATCTAATAAATGAATTATATCTAATTTTTAAATTAAAAAATACCTCAAACATTTCATTAAATTAGATATATATTTATATTATAAAAAATAAAGTTGACGCTCTTATAAAGTATAAGGGATAAATATTTAGAGTTGAACAAATCTATTTGCACTCTTTTACATTTTGAAACATTTAAAATTCTTATATAATGAATGCATAAAAATATGGTTCATAATAAGTTAATCATTCTATATATAACCTTTATATACAGAGTAAAACAGATCTAAGGCTTATACATAAGCTATATATTACTTATATATAAGCGATACAATAAAATATAAAATCATAAAGTAATTTACAAATCACATACCTGTCAAAGTCTATAAATTATTTAGACTCCTCTTTAATATAATTTCTATAAGAATTTTTATAGATATAATAGTCTGTGGTGAATATACTTATTAGTAATTAAATTAAATTCAAAGGAGTCAATGACATATAATAAAATGAAAGAAAATAAATATTTGTAATTTACAACTAGAGATAAAATTCAACTACATGATTTTAAATGTTTGTTATCCAATTATATACTTTTATATGACTATTTAAAAAAACTTAGGTTACGATTAAAACTATTACCTGCTGACAGAGGAGAAATCATATGGTAATGAACTGATGCTGATCCTGCACTTTCGCCAAATATCGTAATGTTTTCATTGTCACCTCCAAACGCAGAAATGTTTTCTTTTACCCATTTTATTGCAAATAATTGATCTTTTAAACCCATGTTACCAGGACACTCGTCAATACCAAAATTCAAAAAACCTAAATCATTAATTTGTAAAATAAGATTGTTTGGTTTTGTGTAATTATTGAATAGCTTTAATGAATTTTATAAAAACATAAACTAAAACACACATCCTCCTTCTCTGAGGAGATAAAAAATAACACCTAAACGTTTGAAAGAGTTAGTTGTTTATTAAAATGAGTATGGTAAAGGCGAAGTATGAAAAATTAACAGACCGCTTAATGGTGTTATTGGTATAGTTATAATATAAGAAACTTTAATAACTAAAATTAAATTTACATTTTTCTTTAAAATAAATACCTAGTGTGTTATTGAAATAAATAGAAAGTCTTTTTTTATTAACATATATGTATATACCATGTCATATTTTTCCTGCAAATAAATTACTTATTGATAAAATGTTTTGAATAAGTATTATTATTTTGTATGTATATATTTTCTAGGATAAATTCTAATTCTAAACATAAATAAAATGTTTATTAAGATAAAATAATAAAAAACAATTTTTAACAAAGTCTGCAGTATAATTTGAATAACTTCGAAACTAAGGATAATAATAATTAACTGAACTCCTACGTTTATCACAAGTATAATCTAAATTAGCTTTGTCTTAAATTATTTTTAGACATACTACAAAATTCAAATGTGAAGGAAGAAAGGTTTAAGGATTTTAACACCTCAAAAGCCCGAAAAGGCAGGAATATTATATTTTTAGTTATTTAAGTCCATTTTAATTAAAAATGTGAAATAAAGTTATTAAATAGATAAAATTTAGATTAAACTCCAAATAAATTTCGAGTGACATTACTGTTTACGTCAGGTATATCTTAGGTACAAAACTTATTAAGTGTTTTGTGAAATGATCACTTAAAAGTTTTAATCATTCTACCATACAAATAGTATAATGACATAAAGTGCGATATAATGAATATATATGTTTGTTATATTACCCAGAACATTTAAACGATAGTTAATTGTAACCAGAATTATATTTTCATCAATTAAATAATCAGGGGAGTAAAAATCTGTTGATCCCGAACTGAAATTGAAGGCGCCGCCATGTATAAATATCATGACGGCTTTTTTTTCATTGCATTCCTAACAAACAAGATTACGATAAAAAAATTAACAAAATAAGTAAAATTATTTTACCTTTGGAACAAATATATTTAAATGCAAACAATCTTCACTTCCAATAATTTTTTTGGTTACCACCATATCATATTGGGCACATTTACTTTTTTCAGAAAAAGCTTTATAAACTCCAGACCATCCTTCGTGTTTAACTGGTGGCTAAAAAATTATTATTAAAAAATATATTTAATACATCAAGTCTAGGGTTACACTCTTATTACTAAGGAAATTTCAATTAATTTGTTTGTTAATATTTCAGATTTACATGGTTAAAAATAATATCCTAATAAAATTATTAAAAATTAAAAAAAAACAAGTAAACCATTAACCCGCTGTTAATTTTAATTTTAATGAGTGTAAAACTAGACAGGCTTTTTAAAAATTTACTTGTTCAAGCATAAGTTTTGATATTTCTTAAAATACATAAACATTTAAAAATGTTAACATATGTAAAAGTACCTTAAATCTTAGTTCATTGATAGGTGCTTTAGCGTAGGGTATCCCCAAAAAACTGATGTAGGGCTTTTTTGATAAATATGTTTTGTTACAAAATCCTTGTACGATACCTGATTCAATTCTTATATTAACTTTTTGTTTTGGCTAAAAATAAAATTTAAATAATTAATAATAACGATATTTCATTATTTTTATGATGATTTATCATCATTTCAATAGTAACAGTTTTTTATCGTGGAATTTAATTAGCCGTCGCAAAAAAAAAAAACAATATAATTTTTGTTTTTTACTCAAACAAAATATATTAATTATGAATTATGACATGAAGTGTCTGCTGGGTATAGGTAATACCAAAAGAACATAATCCGTTTTAATAAAATAATAACTGCAAAGATAGCACTGGATTGGGGAAAAAAGGCACACCGAGATTTTTACATAAAGTCCCGATTGCGCTTAATTCAGGAGTCCTTGTTGACCTTTTATTTTGCTTATCAATTTTTTATTTTATTTATTGCTCTCTTCTTTTATTCTCTCTTGTATACAGGAGATAAATTTGATATTATATTGTTACAATATAATATCAACTGGTTCTTAGAAATGCAATAAACAATCATTTAGTTTATCGAATTTCTTTGAAAAGATAGTGCTTATCTATACGACATAACAATGTTGCCGTCTATTAAAAAAAAATTACGTTTTTTAAATCGTCTTTAAACATTAAATAGTTGTAACTCAATAAACTTTGAATAAAATAAAAAAAAATGTTATATAATTTTTTTTTTTTGTCGAATAAATCTGATTAGATTACATATATATATATATATATATATATATATGCAATTGAGACTGTTATTTGAAAATCGAGTATTGATATTAATTTAGGGTATAAGAGATGGTAGCAGACGATTAATTTAATACTGATTAAATAAAATAAGAAAGAACTAAAAGTTAAAATTTTACAATAATAGACACACTCGATATTATAATATGAAATATATTATATAATTTATTTAAAGTGATATGTTATTTATTATAGTGTGTAAGAAAATTAATTGAACAAATATTACCGAAAAAAATTATTGATAAATTTCGATTTCTGTTAAAATAAAATTTCATATTTACTACTATAAAATCAAAAAAATTGAGAGTACTAAATTTAATATATTCATATATTTTTACAATATACATTGAATTACAAATACTGTATTTTTGCGAGACTTATTTTATTTTTGGCGGGATTTGGCCTCCCAAGCTACTGCACTATACTCGTATGATTGAATTCTTAAACATAAAATGTAAAATTATTTCATTTATTCGATATTTTTTTATGTAAAATAATTAATCTACATCAAATTATAATAGTTAAGTAGACTTTGAAGTACAATTTATGATAAGATTTAACTTACTATAATATTTGTAATATATCCGAGTAGTTTATTTATCGTAATAGTTAAGATGATTCTACAAAGAACTAGTTTTTGTGTAACTATCGACATCATTATTTTAACTTTTTTTGAATAACGGCGAATAAGTCATAATCTCACTTCACTATCAAATGCTCACGCAACACGCACTAAATATGTATACAACAAAATCAGTAGCCGAGAAACAAGTTGACTCCCTACTTCTTTCTCCTGAAAGAATACTTGTTAAACCAAAGAGTACCTTAAACACGATATGGCCGACTGGTGGCAGTGTTACCATCGCCCAATAATATCTGCCGATCGGTAATCAACGGTTGGTCAGTCTCAGGAAATTTCAATTATTTCGACTTGTTAATCGCCGTCAATGAATAATTTTTTTTAAGACGATTTTATTTATATTTAAATATTATATACAAAATTATTTATGAATACGGGAAAAGTTACTTTAAATTATTGTGTTTATATGGAAAATCTGTACGAAAAATGTGTTTAAATCAATTTCACAATAATTTTGAAATTATAATACAATAAAAGCAACATCTCAAAAATATCGCCTTCAAAAAAATGCCGCCCTACGTGATGGCCTATTTGATTTACCCCTAAATACGATACTAATATAAGTTGGTCTTAAGGCAGGGTCTGAGCGAGACCCAGACTTCTTGTTTGCATTTTTATTAAATGAAATCAAGTACGAAATACTTGTATAGTATAAACAGTGCCGGAGCAAGCGTCGGGGCACCTGCCCCGGGCGCCGCTGTCGTTGGGCCCTCCGAGTGGCTTGGTTTAATTTGTCTTTAGCCTATCTACTTTTTTGTCGGTAGAGCAAAAAAAAAGATCTAAAAAAAATTTAAAAATTTCAACCCAGAAATAGAGATAACTACCGGGGCTAACTTGCCCCGGGCCTCGAAAAACTTTGCGCCGGCACTGAGTATAAACAATGATAATAAAAGTTTATACAGTCTATAAAGAATAGTCTTCTATAAAGTAACCTTTCACTTTATTAAATTCATTTTATCAACCTGATAAAATGAACTGAAAAATACAACTACCTACTAAATGAAGGCAAAGAGATTGGTCTGAAGATAAATGAGTTAAAAACAAAGTATATAATATTTTCAAAACGAAATCACAACACTTCTTATTTAAATCTGATGAGTACAAATTTGAAAGGATGCAGAGTTTCAAGTACCTAGTGGCAAACATGAAAATGCTAATAGCCACCAAAAAGTAAAAAAATGTCATATGGTAGCAAATAGATGTTATTATAGTTTAATGATATTATTCAAATAAAAATTGCTATCAATTAAGTCTAAAATTACATACACAATGTCACAGCTAAACCCGTTGCTTTGTATGTGTGTAGTACTTGCACCCAGAGAAAAACCTCGATCTATATAATAAATTCATTGTTCAATTTGATAAATATATCATTACTATTGAATCAATGATATATTTATCAATATGATATTTTTTTTTCTTGTCTTGAACAATAATTATTTATAAGAATAGTTATTTTGTTCGTATTAATAAAACATTATCATAAACCCTTGATAAAATTTCTCTTTCAATTTTGATTGAGGTTTTTCTTTGGGTGTGGGTTAAACAAAATCAGATAAAAAAAGTTTGAAGTGTTTGAAATAAGGATATAAAGAAAAATCTTCAATTCAAAGAGAAATAACGAAGAATTAGGTAAATTTTATAAAAAACCCACTATTATTGGAACCCTAAAAAGTACGATGGAAATTTGGGCAGGATATGGATATGGATCAGAAGGAATAATTGGATTAATAACTAAATGAAAACCCGATAATAAGGGACCTAGAGAACAGTCTAGACAAATACTTCTGAATGTAAAAAACGCAGAATATTGTGTGAACGATAGATAGGAATGGAAACAATATGTTGCTGCGGCGAAAGGCTTGAAAAGCTCAGAAGAGAGAAAAAGTACTTTTTAAATTAATAGATTTCTTAATAAACATATTGCCATATTGTGAAATGGAATCTATTTTTTAGGCTTTAAAAGGTTTTTATCATAAAATAAGCTTAATCTAATTATTTATAGGTTAGACTTATTATTATTAAAAAAAATGATTATTTTTTCAGAAATATATTATAATAATATTTACAAGTATGATTTTACAATTTTATTTCATTATATTTTAGGAACTACGTATAACTTAATGAATAGTTCAAGGTATAATTAATGATATGATGGAATAAATAAGCATTTCAAAAAGTATAATCTATGATCAAATACCTATGATAGCATGAATACTTAAATAATATAAACATAACAATTTATTGTTTACTGTAGTTTATTATAAATTAACTATCATTTTTTTCTTAGTGCTATTTTTTTACAGAAATACACTTAATAAGTCTAATAAATAACTTAATATTTAAATGAAATTGTATGAACTCGTTATTAAATTGCTAACAATATGAACACCATGCGTTTTATATATGTATTCTAATATTAACTTTTTATTAAATGATACAGTAAAATTCATAAAAATTTAGAAAAAAACATAAATTATAATATTCTTAAAGTATATTCTATTTGTCTTAAAAACCTTCGATAAAGTACCTAATAAATTACAACATAATTTAAATTTGTAAAGGTAATTTTCAATTAACTACTTATATTTTCCACAATTACATCATTTAAATCACTATATATAAACTTTTTTTGTATAAATTATAATATGTTATTCTGTAAAATTTACTCAAAGAGAATTTATTTGAAATACTGTTAAAGCCATATAAAATTTTATGTTTCTTCGTCTGGAAAATCGAGGTTTTAACAATTTATTATGTAGGCGTTCCGTATTATAATTGAGTTAAATGCAAGTTTCAATCTCTAAAGTGGACGGATTATTTTCAGTTTGGCATCGTTCATAATTTACAATTTCATCATCATGGTGAATTTTTCCTGACGAGGATGGTTTAGATTCGTTTGTTCTAAGTAAAGTCTTGTAACTTTGTGCACTTCCGTTTTCGGCTGAGGAGAGCATGACCAACATATCGGCAGCGGCTATGGTAGAACTTTCCGTTTCTCCATCATCAGCTATTCTACCATTTTTAGTTACAATTGGCTTGTGTATTACTGATTTTCTATATTCAGTCGTGCTTATGATAGTGTTGATAGGCATAGTTGTGTCACGAAAGCTGGATTGTAAGTCCCTTGACATTCGGTTTCTATATTTTCTAGCATTACCACAAAGCGTTTCGCGAAACGCCCTCCTGTATTTCATTGACATTAAGTTGTAAAGAATAGGATTTACAGTAGAAGAAAAGTAGTAAAAACATCCAGCAATTGTATATAATAATTCGTTTATCAAAGGAAAGTACGGCGATTCTCTAGCATACCGATAGAGCAATCGTTGTGCGTGGAACGGAGCCCAGCAAAGAAAGAATGCTACGACTACAGCAGCTAAAACAAAAATAATATTATTTTATCAATTAAATTGTTTGTTTACGTACGAAATAATTTATATAAGTCAGTATAAAAAATAGCACCAAGTTTTAATTTGATGGCTATTTTAATATTTTACATGTAAATATTTCTTTACCAAGCATTCTAACAATAGACTTCTTTGATTGAATTTGTTTGTTGTCGCCGCCATGCATTTGTTTACCAAGCGAGTGTCTAGAGCTTTGCCTTATTTGATGACCAATTCTTTCGTACAAAACAATTATAATTATCAGGGGGACCAAAAAAAATAAAAACGAACTTAGCTCATAGATGGGTACACCAGGAGGTAAATTTGAGTCCAACATTGCACAAAATGCGCTTTCATATGACAAGTTTCCTGATGCTGTGAAAAATATTTTTTATTTATTATTAATTGATGATCATGATATCATGGATTGATTAATTAAAAAACAACGTTTTAAAAATTCAATATATATCGATTTTCATTGATTTAATCAAAATGATAATACTCCTTGGTGATATTTTTTGATTGTTAATACTAATTTAATGAAATATATCTTTTAATATTATATTTTTTTTGAAACACTTTGTAATATACTAGATTAATTATGATTATTATAACAATGATCGCATAATTAGTAAATTATCTAATTATTTATAAATTAATTTTAGGAATCCTAAAAAGAAAAAATTATAATTAAATGTTGAATCAGAAAGTATAAAAAAAAAAATACCACTCCGTGTATGATTTATTTATTATATGATGAATAAAAAATAATAATGAAGGTTTTCTTTAATAGTTGTAACGAAAACTTTTTATTTTCAGGTAATCGAAAAAAATATTCGAATTGTAATTTTTATACTAAAATAATAATACTAATGAATATATAAATATAAATATAAATATACTTAATACTAATGAATATTTTATAGTTTAATTAATGTTAAGAATAATAAAATTAAAATATTTTAATTATAATAAATGGTTACCTGGTGGATATTCAATATAGTCAACTTTAGTGTATACAGCAAATGGCAATGCAGCTAAAAACGATATTATCCAAACCATTGCAATGATGCGTATTGCTCTTTTTAATCCAGACATAGCATATGCATGGAGAGGATGACATATAGCAATATACCTTTCCATCGAAAATGCTACGATTGTTAAAACTGAAGTGTAAGAAGTCCTATTCAATAAAAAGCAAGCAAAGATTAATCATCATAAGTAAGGAAACGTAAGTTTTTAAACTTATTAAAATTATAATTGAAAACAATTTCTTCTACTTTATTGGAAAACAATATAATTGTTTTATTGAAAAAATAAATATAATAAAAAATGTTTGAGTTCAGCTAGATTTCATATTATTGGTTACTAAAAACATAATTAGTATTTCATAAAAGTTATTTTTCAAATATCACTGATCACAATATTAAAATTTATATCCATATACAGGTATAATATACTTCAATAAAAGAGAAAAAAATTGATTAGTTTCAAAAATTTGACTAATAAATATTTAGAAAATAAGAAAATGACTTACATTTCTGATACTAATGCTCGTAGTTTACATATGAATTCACCTAGAGGCCACGGGTACTGTTGCCAGTAAACGCTGAGATCATTTGGTAAACCTGAAAAAAATTGTCGTAATGATATATCATAATATCAACAAAATTTCATATTTCAATTTTAACAATAAATAATATTTTATTTTAAATTTGGTGACTTTGAGAATTTTTAGGAAAGTAATTAATATTTTGCATTACTTTTTATTTATAACATGGTAGAAAGAATAATTTGAAGTAGTATTACTTTTATGCACATTCATTTTTGCATTAATTATCTGACTTTCAGTAAATTATCCTACGGATAGTATTTTTATTTCTGTCAATATATAAACTAGATTACTAGCCTAGTAAGTTAGTTAGGTATATTGAAATCAATGATAAATTTTTATTAGAAAGAATAAAATTTAAGTTGGTAACTTAACTATTTTATATAGTGGTGTTTTAATATGCGGGTGTAAGGCCATGTATATCCATGAACATTTTTTAATTTCGATGCGAAGTTAAGAACAAATACCTGCTCAGCATGGTTTTTTATAAATTGATCACTCTGTATATTTTTAGCTTAGGTGTGAAGCTGGAATATATTGGTTTTGTCATGATGTCCGTTTTTATTTAACATATTCAAAAAAAAAAAAACAGTACTTATGTACTATTTATATTGAAGACTATACACTCACAAATCAGCGTAGAGTCAAAAATAAAAAAATATTTTTCGCGAAAATACCACTGATGCACAAAGAGATTGAGATAAAATGCTAAATCAATTTAAAAGTTTTGTTTATAATTCTACCAAAATAAAAATTAAAAAAAATTGTAAACCAATCATATATTATCTCAAACATTGTAAATAAAAATGTATATTCTTTAATAACACGAATACATTTAATACAACTGTCATAATAAATTTTTGCTGCAATAATATATTATAGTATGTTGTATCATACGTTATTTCTATCCTAAAACTTTATTTGTCATAGAGTTTCTATACTTCATGTGATATTACTATTCTAAGGCCCGTTCAATGAATGTCATATTTGGTGATGGATGTTCTATTTAGACTTTAAATCATTATAAACACCTTATTGTTGAATATGAAGCTCTCATAGTTCGTTAGGTATGTTGAGCTAAAATTTCATTTATTCATATTCTTTTTATGTATTCTGTCTTTGGACAAAATATTTTAGTACAATTTTTTTTTTAATTTTATAAGGATTCGACATCGAACGTATTTAACCGACAAAAAAATAATTACTTTAAATAAATAATTTGAATTGCAATAAAAAAGTACCATAAATAATTTAAAACTTCTGATATTTCAGATTTGAAATATTATAGATTATTAAGATAAAAATCCCGATTTTATGTGTTTTTTAAACTTTTAAGATTTATAAATCTAAGCACAGGGAAATGAGGGGACATTTTCCTGTGCCATACAGATATTCAAATGTTTATTAACCTTTATTTTTGCTCATAATCAGCTTAAAATTATCCCTAATATTTTTATGGTAGTTTATAAGTTAAAAAAAAAGTTGTTAACATCCCCCTTATGAATTTCTAAATACCTATTGATTACACTAAATAACATCGAATACAAGAAATAATTAAACATTATCTTTTTATTTATAAATTAATATAACTTATAATTTATAAAACCCAGTACAGTTGGATCGCGGCACAGTGAGGACGTGGTATATGTGGGTAAAGTATAATGATATCTTACTTCAGTGTGGTAAGAGTACGATTTATTTTTTATTTTATTTAGTTCATTTATCATTAAGTTTAAATCTAATTATTAATATTTAATTTATGTTTTTTGATAGTTTGTCTATCAAAAAAAAATTGTTTATAACTACCACACAACTACATGTTATATGTGATAGGAAAAAGTACACAATTTCCCCTCAGGTTATTATAACAGAAATTTAATTAAAATTATATATATAAACAACATAAGTATATTCAATTAAGTACAATTTGAAAAAGAGAAAAATTATTTTTAAATTTTAATAATTTTAATTATCGCAACATTTAAAATAATTAAAAAAAAATGTTTATTGCAATAATTAGTCTTAATAAATTTTATTAAAATTTTTGCAATTCAATTACAAATTAACACATTAACATCATATAAAAAACATTAAACATAATTATTAACAACAACCACAACTTTAAAAACTTTATATTTAAGAGTTTTATATAAAAATAGATTATAGAAGTGCAACATTTATAAATATACATTAAAGCTTTAAAAAATTCCAGTATGCAAAGTTATACTGGAATTTTTTATATTTTTAATTTAATTTAATTTTTAATATGAGGTGTGTATGAAACTTTTAATTTTCATGTAGTATGATTTTCAAAAACAATTTTTTTAATGTTGGTACACATGTTCCTTGAAGTATGATAAAATGTTCAGCTGGATTTATTTTTTACTTTATCAGTGGCAATCGCTAAGGTTAGACGTGTTTTTATGAGCTTGGCGATTTTCATTTGTTAAAAAAATGGCTCAAAAAATTGGTATCAAATTTTGCGTAAAAAAAATTAAATAAAGTGTAACAGAATGTGTGAAATGTTAAAAAAAGTATCGAAAAATGAGCTGAAACACAATCCCAAAGATCGATTTTGAGAAATGTTTTAAGGATGGGAATAAGTGTTAGCACTAGTGCAGAATAAGTGATGGGGACTTTTTTAAAAGTGACAACATTAATGTAGACGAATAAATAAATATTTTTTTTAAATGAAAATTCCCGTTATTTTTTGAATAGACTTTGTATAATTGACCACGTCAATGAGTCAAATGAAAAAATAACTAAATATTTTATGATATGTAATTTATAATGTTAAATTATTTTTATCATTTTTTAAAGTAAATGCAAATTACCTAAAAACATTTTTATTAAGAAAAACTAAAATAAATGTTTATGAGGATAAACTTATTTTTTTCAACGTGTTTTTGTTCTTATAAAAATTCATTTAATAATCAAATATAATTGGTGTGATAGAGGAAGTTTATTATCCCCTTATTTATAAACAACCATTCAAAATTGTGTTTACAAAATATTATTAAATTGTATCTATTTTATTAAAGTGTTACAGATTTAAACAAATTAAATTAGTTAATTGAGATTTTGGAAAACTTTTGTAAACTGGCCTAATGTAATAAGGAAATTAGGGTATAAGGACTTTTTTTCATTGTTCTCGAAATACGTATCCTGTATTTTAAGTTATTTTTTGAGTTAAATACTTTTATATTGTTATAAATTAATACTTTTAATATTAAGTAATATTAGCTACATGTAATCAAATTTATCATAGTTAATGTCATTATTTTTTTAGTGAATTGATATTTATATACATACTGCCTGAGTATTATAACAAATACCAAAACTATTATAACGCCAAAAAATATGTCATTAATATAAAAAATGATTTGGACTTACAAATGGATAAATTTTCAATTTAATCAAATTGTCTTAAAATATTATCGAGAGCCTCGTCATATAGTTTATTTGTAGTTTTTACGATTGTAAATAACACTTAAGAACACTTCTTATTGTAGAATTTCGATTCTTACATATGTAGCTTGTTCATTTTAACTTCCTTTTTTTATATCACTTACAATAAGTCCTTGATTAAGTAATTTTTCTTTATTATTATGTTTTCTGATCAAAACATGGCCTAAACGTTTTTTGCAATACTTTTCTTCCAAAAATTTGTTGTTTGTCATATAAATAATATTTTCATTTTATCATAATCTAATTATTTTTTCTATTATAATAAATGAAAAAAAACCCAGCACAGGGGGGTCGCGGCACAGTTGTGACGTGGTATAGTTGGATCAAGTATAATGATATCTGACAGTGATTAAAATCACTATCAAAAATAAACGCTTCGATGCAAATCTTTAGATAGTGTTTAATTTTAAAAAAATTGGTGTTTTATTCCAAAAGCTACTTGATCTGCTGGTTCCTTAATAATATCTCGATTAAGATAAAGTATGTCGAATGAAAAAGGGTTTATTAAAAAATATTATTTCTCATAAAAAAATTGTGTGGATCCATAAACTTTTCAATAAGTTATAGCATTATAAAGTTAAATATAATATAAATAATAAAATCGAGAATTTTCACACGAAAATAGCATTCGGTAGCCATTTTCGCCGTGAAGACAAGTCCAGAGGTCAAATTTTTTTTTTTCAAATTAAAGTATATTATATTAGCTTTAATTTAAGATATATATAAAAGTGTCAGACCTTCCGGAACATTTTCAAAAGTTAAGTTGAAAAAGTTAATTTTTTGTGAAAAAGTTGTCATTTTAAATCCCCCCCTGTGGGCAGGTTAAGTGTCAGATTTACAAAAAAAATATACCAAATGATAGGTAAAGACATCAAGCATCTATATAAAAAAAAATTATATTGATATGTTCATTTTTGAAAAAGTTACGGCAGTTTTTAGTAAAAAAAATTGAAAAAATTTCGAAAATTAGCGATTTTTAAATTTGTAATTTTTTTGGAGGTTTCCCCCATTTACGGGGAACGAGGGAAATTTTTTCAATTTTGAAGGGTAATGTCTTCGACTAGATACGATTTGTGATCTTTTGACGTATCGTTGAAAGAAATCCGTTCGGTGAGAGCTGAGAAAAAGTGGTAACAGACACAAAAAAAAAAAAAAATAAAAATAAAAATAAAAACACATCTTAGTAAAACCAATACCTTCTCAGCTTCGCATCGAAGCTAAAAAATTGAAAAAGATTTAAAACATAAATACTTCACTATTCTGTAATTTTTTTTCAAATTGTGTTTAAATGTTTCTTATATTTTTAATTAGGCTTCACTTAGCTGGGACTGCACCTCAGACCCTGTGCCCTGCAAGCCTCACGCATCGTTAGGGCCTTCGGACTGTCCTTACAGGCAGGCCACTGATTCCGGTAGGAGTACCCGAATACTCGATATGTGTTATGTTAAAAACGTATAACTCCAAAAGCAGTTTACCAGAAAATTATTCCCATTGTAAATTAAATAATAATTAAGAAATAATATGACAACAAAATACTTATGTGTATTC